CAGGAATCGGAAGGACTGATCGTCCTGGAAGAGTCCCAGGAGAAGAGTTCCGGGTCCAGGCCCGAGATCCTGGTCCCGCAGGTCATCATCCAAGAACCTGTCCTGGTGGTGAAGGAGAGGAAGATGGAGAAAGGGTCTGGGAATTTCTGGGAGGACTCCAGGAGTCCCTACTTCGATGGAGAGCAACAGGATGAACCCAGCAAGCCCAGCATCTTCCAAACCGTGAGCGACATCATGACCAACAGACCCAAATTCGTCAATGGGATTCGGAATCCTGGGGAGATGCTGCGGTCCATCCCCGAGCCTGCAGAGATCCTGGACCTGGTGGAGTCTCTTCCGGGTCCTGCGGATATTTTCAGGTTCATTCAGAGACCACAAGTCACTCGGGGAGTTGAACAAGTCCAAGGATTCCAGAAACCGGACGTGTTCGGGTCACGTTTCGATTCGAAGCCTGAGCAAGAGACCCAGTCCATCGTGGACCAGGATGCTGGGGAGCCTGAAGAGGATCCTAAATCCAGGGAGCCCGGAAAGTTTATCGCTGAAGAGCCTGAAAATAATGCCGCATCAAGTGGGTTCATGATCCAGGAAGTGATGACCGGCAAACCTGGAATGGACCACGGAGAAGCCCTTGCTGCGAAGGACACTGTTCAGAATCCTTGGAGGGATTTAGGGAACGTCAAGTTTGATGATGGATCGTGGATCAGTGAACTTAATAAATCTAATCTCATCCATATCGTGAACGATATCATGACCAACAGGGAGAAGTTCATTGATGATCTGCAGGACTCCAACGAGATGGTGCAGGATGTTCCTAGGCCCAGGGTCCTTGGATTGCTGGAGTCTCTTCTGGGTCCTGAAGGATTTCTCCAGTTTATCCAAACTCCGCAGGTGATCCAGAACCTGCCGGAACCGATTTTCAAAGCTGAAGATCGAGATGGAGACTCCAAGTTTGCGCAAAGTTTGGACTCTGTTCACAATCCGGAGATGTTCGGGTCCTTCCAGGATCCTGAAGACATTTTAGAGCCCGTGAAGAAGCCTGGGATCATCGAGGCGATTCATGAAGATGTCCTTGTTCCGGGGAAACATATTATTAGCTTGGTTAAGAGGCCTCTTCAAGTTCTGGAGTCCATCGCGAACCAGACGCCGGAAATTCTTGAGGCCCTCCCAAAGCCTGGGGAGATTTTGGAAACTATCTCAAACCCAGCGATTTTGCAGTCGATTCCAAAACCAGGAGAAGTTCTGGAAACCATTTCGAATCATGAGATTTTCCAATCGATTCCGAAACCAGGAGAAATTCTGGAAACTATTTCGAATCCAGCAACCAGGAGAAATTCTAGAAACTATTTCGAATCCAGCGATTTTGCAGTCCATTCCAAAACCAGGAGAAATTCTAGAAACGATTTCGAATCCAGCGATTTTGCAGTCCATTCCAAAACCAGGAGAAATTCTGGAAACTATTTCGAATCCAGCGATTTTGCAGTCCATTCCAAAACCAGGAGAAATTCTGGAAACTATTTCGAATCCAGCGATTTTGCAGTCCATTCCAAAACCAGGAGAAATTCTAGAAACTATTTCGAATCCAGCGATTTTGCAGTCCATTCCAAAACCAGGAGAAATTCTAGAAACTATTTCGAATCCAGCGATTTTGCAGTCGATTCCGAAACCAGGAGAAATTCTAGAAACTATTTCGAATCCAGCGATTTTGCAGTCCATTCCAAAACCAGGAGAAATTCTGGAAACTATTTCGAATCCAGCGATTTTGCAGTCGATTCCGAAACCAGGAGAAATTCTAGAAACTATTTCGAATCCAGCGATTTTGCAGTCGATTTCAAAACCAGGAGAAATTCTGGAAACGATTTCAAACCCAGCAATCCACCATTCAATCGCTGAGGTACCCGAGAATCCCAACTTTGGAGAAGGAGCAATTGTAACCGAAAATGCCGAGGGAGTGTTAGCAACCGGAAGCGACTTTCCTGAACCAGCAACAAATTTCTGGGAGGACCCCAACAGCCCCTTCTACGGTGAGGAATCAAATCCGAACCAAACCGGAACATTCGGACTGATGAACATGTTCCACGACCTGCTGATTCGGCCAAATTCCGTGGATGGATCGAAGCCTGGGATTATGGAGAGTCTTCTGCGACCAGGGTTCGACATTTTGGAGAAAATCTCAAGTTCCAGTCCAGGAAAGCTCCAAGCCGAAGTTGCAGAACCAGGAAGTCCCGTCGACTCTGAGAAGCCAAGTCTGATGAAGACTATCCAGAACATCATCCAGAAGTCCCACCAGAAGTTCCTTCAGTCCGTTTCGTTGCTGAACAGCGACCTCGAGGAGAGCCCTTCTTCAGGAGTCCAGGAAACCTCGAAGCCCAGTGTCTTCAGCAACCTCTGGAAACCTGGGTTTGGTTTGAAGAAGCAGAGGACAACCACGAATGCGCCAGCAACCCACAACAAAGACGAGAATGTTGCCTTTGTCGAGTTTCCGGAATCCCCCGACCTCTTCGTGCTCCTCCATAAACCGGAAACCGGTGTTCCCAGCAAATCTGGGTTGCTGGGCACTTTTCAGAAGCCGAGATTCGAGATGGTCGACCAGGAGGTGCAGAAGATTGCTGGGACCTGGGGACCACGAGACCCTGTTAAGGGTCTTCCTGGGTTTGAAGATTCGGTGGCAAACCCGACAAAGAAGTCGCAGACCAACCAGGATCACGGCAGCGATTTTCTGCTCCTCGAGAAACCGATTTTCGTTGTGCAGAAGCCGAGCAAACCTGGGATCTTTAATATTCTTCACAAGCCGGAACAGATCCCTGAAGATCATGAGGTACTGTTGCAGAAGTTAATATATGATTATGTTTTTTGGTTGAACATCAATGACAAATTAAAATCCCATTTGTTCCTCCAGATGATAAAAGACACCGTGCACATCTTCCAGAAACCACCCGGTCATCCTGGATTATCTGGGAACATCTTCAGCAACGTGGGCAGCATCGTGAAGCCGGGATTGCTCCAGCAATGGAACATCTTCCATTACATTAAGCCCACCACTCAGAAGCCAACTGAAATCACTTCGGAACAATCGGCGCCTTTTTTTCCAAGTACGTTGAATGTTCATCAAGGATCGGCCAATGTTCATCAGGATCATCCTAAACCCGTTGAAGAATCCATCAAAGTTCATCCTGAAATCTGCGTGGACCAAGGAACTCCAGGACCCAGTCCAGCAATCCCCTTCGAAGAGTCGAAGGAGTTCATAAATGCTTCATCGGCGGAGAATGAACATCTTGAAGAACCTGCAGAACCCTTCAACATCTCGACACAACAATCTGATGTGGATGTCGTGGAGAAATCGGAACCTGGAGAAGAGGATTCTGCCTTCACTAGTCAATATATGAAACCAGACGTCGATGTTCATCCTAATCCAGATGAAGACGTTGCTGAACATCCTGAAGGTGTGAGTGTGGAAGAGGATCCTGCTTCGATAGAGGATCATCCTGAACCTGTCGAAGAATCCATCGATGTTCATCCTGAAATCTACGTGGACCAAGGAACTCCGGGACTCGTGGAACCGAACGTCGATGTTCATCCTAATCCAGAGGAACACGTTGCTGAACATCCTGAAGTGGAAGAGGATCCTGCTCCGATAGAGGAAGTGCCTGCGGAATCATCGGCCAATGTTCATCAGGATCATTCTGAACCCGTTGAAGAATCCATCGATGTTCATCCTAACGTTGCTGAACATCCTGAAGTGGAGAACGATACTTTGACAAAGGGAGTGGAAAATGACGCATCAACAAAGGAAATAGAGGACGATGGTTCATCGAAGGAAGTGAAGAGCAATACTTCGATGAAATATGCAGAAAACGATTTCATAAAGGAAGTTGATAACGTGATCTTCCCAGAGGACCCAAGCCCAACAAAACCTGAACATCCAGCCAATCAAGTTGAACCAACCCCAAAGCCATCACCTAACCACGACAATCCTGAACAATTAGGGTCAATTAAACTGAACATCGAACCGGACATGAACAATTTACTAAACCTTGAGAAAGAGCCTGTTCATCGTCCCGAAATAGACAACTTAATCGTGTCAAAAAAAGAATATAACTATAACGAGGTGACGCATCAGCAACAGCAAAAATTAAACCAGCAACTGCTCGACAATCTGAAGAAACGGATCAGCGATCTTCAGCAACGCCTCGAGAGTCTTCCAGAAATCTCCAGGACTCCAGGAAACGAATTGGGGAAATCCAGCAACTGCAGCTTATCAGGCTGTGTCTAAGATAGTTTGTTGCTGCAGGACCAACATCCTCTGCTTCAGCAACAACCGGAACATATCCTCCCCTCGAGTCTCTATAACGAGGTGACGCATCAGCAACAGTAAAAATTAAACCAGCAACTGCTCGACAATCTGGAGAAACGGATCAGCGATCTTCAGCAACGCCTTGAGAGCCTTCCAGAAATCTCCAGGACTCCGGGAAACGAATTGCAGGAATTCAGCAATTGGAAATTATTAGGCTATGTATGAAATAATTGTATTACATAAAGTACTGGCTAGCAACAATAATGCCGGGGTGCAGATTCGGTTGCTGAACATATGTTGCTGATGCAAAAATATTGCTTCGGACGATTTTCCAGGAGTTGGTTCTTGTAGGGAGTTTATTACGATTTTTACATTGCAAAATTATCAACTAACGCGAGTGGTTTGCGTAGAAGGTACGAAATGGAGTAACAATATTAATAACAATTACGCTAATGTGCTGAAGCGGTAAAAATGGCACGATGAAAATTATGTTAAGAAATAAAGAGATGCATACTTTTAAGCGAAACTGGAAACATCGATGCCGCCATTTTTGTTTGTACATTTTGTAGAAAAACGGAATAAAACATAATATTGTTTAAATACGGATTTTTCGAGAAAATGAAATTGTTGTTAGTTTCAAGACCTCCGTAATCGCGGGTTAACATTGAAATTTATTCCGGGTACCCAGTTTGAAGTTTTATAAATATTTTCATGTTTATATATATATATAGAATAACCCTTTCATAGCACCTTAAGGTGTTATTAAAAAAGTCCTTCTATGTATATCAGAATGAACAAAATATTTGCATTGGTACTATTCAAAGAGATATTTCTCTGGCCCAATGAAATCTTTCCTCAGTGTACACTTCTCCGGACCAGCAATAAGGTCCGAGCAACGAGAGAAGAACAATTACTTAGGAATAACCCTATCATCGATTTACACCCCGCTGCGGAAAAATTACGCACCGCCAGCAACGGGATACGGAATTATCGCGAGACGCGTCGTCCTCCGGGTATTTTTCGGTGAACCGGGGAAATCCCTGCTTTTTTCAACATCCCCAGGAACGGCGAGGTCGTTCCCGTGCCTCCTCTCCTGGATCCGCCGAATGGCGTCCTGAAGCTTCTTCGGGTCGTAGGCGATCGCCTTGGAGTATGGGAACTCCACCTCCCCGTTCGAGAACTCGGTGGGACCCGTCCTGGAACCAGGTACCTCGGTGTCGAGGAACCTGGATTTCCTGGATTCCCGCCGGCTCCCAGGGGATGACCTAGTCTCTTCCCGGAGACTCCTGCGGGGCCGACGAGTCTCGTCATCGAGATTCTCGAGGGATACCCTGGCATCATCGGCGGACATCCCAAAGGGTACCCTAGCTTCATCAGCGGGGCTCCCGAGGGATGCCATACCTTCCGCACCTCTCCCGAGGGATTCCTTACCATCATCATCGCTCTCCCGGCGATAGAGAAACCGATTCTTTGAAATCCCTCTGGTTAAACCCAGGTTAACATCCCTCTCCCTCCAGTAGTCCACCGCCCTGAGTCCGCGGGGCTGGAGAAGGGTCCCTAGGGTATAGGGGAACACCCTGGGGGGGTCCTCCGCTTCGTAGAGAACCTCTCGCGCCATCTGGAGTTCCCTTACACGGTGCGGGGAGCCGGACCTACCCGAGGTCCTCTCGCCTCGGGCGTCGGCGCGAGAGTGGGGGAAGCCCGCACTGACCAGGCCCGACTTCGGGGCCTCTATCCCCACTCCTCCCCCGTACTGGCCCGGCGGAGCGGAGGGTTTGGTGGGGGACCCGTCGGCCGGACTCCCCACTCCGCTGCCGACCACCGCGCAGTCAACTTCGCTCCCCTTAACCCTCCTGATCATCTGGAGGTTGGCGCTTCCTTCTTGAACTTGGTCCGTCCTTTTCTCCGGCATTTCCCTCGGATGCGGCACTTTATTCTCCGTTTTCCCGAACACTATCTGCGATAATTTCGACCGCGACGGGAACACGTCCTGTCTCTTTCGCTTCTAAAATGAAAATAGATTCTGTACTCGGAATGGGCTGGGAGATTGAAAAGTCAATTTTAAGGCGACACTCGTAGGATTTCCATTTTTTCCTAACAATTTTAATAATGTATATTGACGAATTTTGCAACAAATTTATCCTTGCCTCCTTCCGATGTTGCCTAGGCGAGCCAAAATTCTGTGTTCGCCTGAGCTTGTCGAGTTTCATTTTTTTAGGATTTCGGATTTGGGGGGAAAGACTACTCACTGAAATCGTCGGCGATGAGTCACGTTTCTTCCGAAATCGCTTAATTATCCGCAGCCAATCGTTGATCTCGAATTTCGGAAAGATCAGAGCGGGTTCGGAACTTCCGGCACCGGTAACCATGAATGGATAAATCCGGTGGGTTATCACTCCTTTTCCGGAAGTGTCCTTGCTCGTACACATCGGCAGGTCAAAGGGCAACCTGGAGACACGTCCAGTTTATTATGATCCTTTGAATAACGCCTATCTGAAGGTGATACGAAAGGGTCGATTTATGAATCGACCAATCACCACCTTCGACATATCGGATCAGTCGCAAATGGTCGTTGGGTCAGCGAAGAACAACAGTCGCGAACAGTCTCTGGGACCGTACGGAACAAGCGTCGCGAATAGTCGTTGGGTCTGTGAAGAGCATCAGTCGCGGATAATAGTTGGGTCTGTTAAAAACAACACCTTTGATATTTCGGATCAGTCGCAAATGGTCGTTGGGTCTGTGAAGAACAACAGTCGCGAACAGTCTCTGGGACCGTACGGAACAAGCGTCGCGAATAGTCGTTGGGTCTGTGAAGAGCATCAGTCGCGAATAATCGTTGGGTCTGTGGAGAACAACAGTCGCGAATAGTCGTTGGGTCTGTAAAGAACAACAGTCGCGAATAGTCGTTGGGTTTGTGAAGAACAACAGTCGCGGACAGTCGTTGGGACCGTACAAAACAATTGTCGCGGATAGTCGTTAGGTCTGTAAAGAACAACAGTCGCGAATAGTCGTTGGGTCTGTAAAGAACAACAATCGCGAATAATCGTTGGGTCTATAATGAACAACAGTCGCGAATAGTCGTTGGGTCTNCGAAAAATTAATTATTCACAAGATATTAATTGAAAAATGAAATGTTTATTAGTCTCCTTAAGGTCTTATCAGAGGGTCATACTAGATGGATTACATGAAAATATTAAAACTGAGTGCGCCAAATAATTTCAAATTTTAATACGTGATTATGGAGGCCCTAATAAAGGTCTTGAAACTTTGGGAAATTAATTATTCACAAGATTTTTATTAAAAAATGAAATTTTTGGTCTGTAAAGAACAACAATCGCGAATAATCGTTGGGTCTATGATGAACAACAGTCGCGAATAGTCGTTGGGTCTATGATGAACAACAGTCGCGAATAGTCGTTGGGTCTGTAAAGAACAACAGTCGCGAATAGTCGTTGGGTCTTATATATATATAGAATAACCCTTTCATAGCACCTTAAGGTGTTATTAAAAAAGTCCTTCTATGTATATCAGAATGAACAAAATATTTGCATTGGTACTATTCAAAGAGATATTTCTCTGGCCCAATGAAATCTTTCCTCAGTGTACACTTCTCCGGACCNTCGTTGGGTCTATGATGAACAACAGTCGCGAATAGTCGTTGGGTCTGTAAAGAACAACAGCCGCGAATAGTCGTTGGGTTTGTAAAGAACAACAGTCACGAATAGTCGTTGGGTCTGCAAAGAACAACAGTCGCGAGTAATTGTTGGGTCTGCAAAGAACAATAGATGAGCGATAGGGAGTTACATGCAGGACATCGGAGCTATCGCATGGACGTCTTAAAGTGCGGGTGGAAGTGATACCAGTGGTACCAGTGATACCAGTGGTACCAGTGATACCAGTGCTACCAGTGCTACCAGTGGAAGAAGAACGAAGTTCGTCCCGAGGCAGCCGCTGAAGAGTCGCCAAAGAAGAAAGATCAAGACAAAGATGGGACATCGCGAGAAAATCCACTCCACCTTCCAGCTTACACGTTAGTGACGTAGAATAGAAATCGATGATCAATAGATTTCAGGATGGGCCCGACCAGCAGCCGGTGTACCTTGGTGTTGGGGTACTCAACGAAGACGTTAGCGATGTAGAATAGAAATCGATGATCAATAGATTTCAGGATGGGCCAACCCCAACACCAGCACCCGGTGTGCCTTGGTGTTGGGGTACTCAACGAAGACACTTTCGTACCACCTTAATTAGCTTTAAAACCTCTTTGAATCCTAATAATGAAGCACAACCAAGTTAATAAGACAAAAATACCTGGGAGGCAAACACCCTTCGAGTTTGTACACAATGGTGGACAACTCGAAGTCGTCCAGGACGTTTCTCTCCTCGTCGATGCCGTTGCTCCGGGTCTTCAACTTCAGCTTCAAATCCGAAGCAGATCTCTGGCTCTCCTCCGAGTCTTCAATCGAGCTTCGGCGACACTTCTCGAACCTGCAAGTCCATTTCATAATCAGAAAACGTTTTGGGCCTCTGGGAATTTCTCTTTTCTTTTTTTTTCGCCGCTTCGGAGGAAGCTTAAGGCGATACGAAAGGGACATTCTGTACACATGAAATATGAAAATATATATGAAGCTTTCCCGAAACTTCGCGCCCTAATTAAGAACCTAGTGTTCATGAAACATCATTTTTGATAAGGAATTTTTTCTTCCAATTTAGACCGGACTAGAACCAAGAATATATGTATATATTCTTGTTTTCATGGGATTTCATGAACACCGCGTTCTTCCTTAGGGCCTCCATGATCACGTGATGAAATTTCAAGTGATATTAGGTGCCACCAATTTGGAGAAATGTTTTGTTAAATGTTTCAGCGTTTCATATATTTATGAATGACCCTTTCGTATCACCTTAACGCTTATCGGCGATTTCATGGATAGATTTACGTCATGAACTCGCAGGTCGGGAGCTTGTCCGAAATGTCGATGCAGATATAAGTTCCGGTAGGGGATGAGGAATCGAAGATGTCACTTCCGGTTGCTCGTCCAGCTCCCAAGAAGAGCATCGATGCCGTCAATGGCACCAAAAATTCCATGGCTCTTGTCTCGGCTTATCTCGGGATCCCACCAGTCTCTGCCACTGATAAGAATTTCATTTTTATCGAGATAATAATTTATATACATTATAATGAAATCGTTTAAACGATAGCGAAGAAGGAAAGCGCTTTTTACCCTCGAGGCGGGGCAGAAGGGGCTTAGGAATTGCGGGATGTTATGAAATTTCTTTTTAATGAAATTATAATTAATTTTCATTGTAATGAAAATATATGATATAATTCGATGATTCGTTATAATGAATATATATGATATAATTCAACGATTCGTTATAATGAAAATATATGAAATAATGAAAATTATATTTTCATTATAATGAAAATGTTTAAATGACAAAGTTTGGAGAAAAGTTTCATAAACTATGGATACCTCAGACGCCACTTTCACATCCCCTTAAGGCAATATGAAATTTGTTATAAAAAATGAAATTTCATGAATGTCAAGACCTTCCTTATAATCTTCATATTCACATTGTAAAGTTTGAAACGATTCGGCACATCCAGTTTGGAGAAAAGTTTCATAAACGATGGATATCTCACACGCCACTTTCACATCCCCTTAAGGTGATATGAAATTTGTTATAAAAAATTAAATTTCATGAATTGCAAGACCTTCATAGCCTCCATATTCACATTGCAGTGTTTGAAATGATGAACATTTCAGATGCCACTTTCACACCCCCTTAAGGTGATATGAAATTTGTTATAAAAAATTAAATTTCATGAATTGCAAGACCTTCATAGCCTCCATATTCACATTGCAGTGTTTGAAACGATGAACATCTCAGATGCCACTTTCACACCCCCTTAAGGTGATGTGAAATTTATTAATGAAATTTCCCGGAATTTCAGAAACTGTTGAATAAAAGAGATCCAGAGTGCACGAGAGATTAATGACACCTTATCACTAAGCGTGTCTGGTCCAATGCTCGTTGCAATCAAATAAGGCCTCCTCGCTCGGCTGACCAGTAAACAGAATGATATCAGAAATACAACTGATAACAGAAATACAACTCTGCCCGGCATTTCGCTCCCATTTTCAATCACCTCGCGGAATTTCTCGTACTCTTTTCGCCGAACTTCCGGTACTCCATGAACTCTGCCAAATTCATGTCGATCGACTTTTTTTTATCAATATCATTAAGGTCTTATCAGAGGGTCATACTAGATGGATTACACAAAAATATTAAAACTGAGTGCGCCAAATAATTTCAAACATTAACACGTGATTATGGAGGCCCTAATAAAGGTCTTGAAACTCCGAAAAATTAATTATTCACAAGATATTAATTGAAAAATGAAATGTTTATTAGTCTCCTTAAGGTCTTATCAGAGGGTCATACTAGATGGATTACATGAANATTCCCGGCGTGAATTCTGAATTTCCCAGCGATAAAAAGGAACCGATAAATCCGATGGATTTATTTCTGAATTTTCCCGGGGAGAAATCGGCATGTAATCATTTTTTGGGGGAATTTATTAAACAGAAAGCGAGGTGAGAAAATGGCGGCCAAGGAGGCGTCGAACCGAGAGGCGGCCAATCAATTGTCAACTAATTGGGGCGAAAGCTCGCAAAGCTCCGAGTACGGAGGAGCAAACAGAATGACGAAACCGAGGAGGAATTACTCCGTATCTCAGAGGGGATATTCCTTGAATAACAATCGTGTTTACACCGATTGTCGTTGCATCGCGAGAGAAGGAGAGAGGGCATTTGTGGCGCTAAATGATAATAACGTCTGCGAAGTTGACTCTCATCGGTGCAAGAACGGTGAAAAGAAAGAGAGGGAGAACATCGGCCATCGCCCTGTGTAAAGAAACATCCCAGGGAATGCTCTGTGGCTTATTGCCTTCCAGCAACACGGAGCAACATCAAGCAAAAAACGGAAAATTGACATTAACATCGCCCCATGAAAAGAAAAATTCGGCGGAATTCTTTACGAAGTTTTTCCAGCAACGTAAAGGAAAATTCTTTGTGGAGTTTTCCCAGCAACGTAAAGCGAAATTCTTTGCGAAGTATTTCCAGTAACGTGAAGCAAAATCCTTTGTGAAGTATCCCCAGCAACATAAAGCAAAATTCTTTGTGATGTATTTCCAGCAACATGAAGTAAAATTCTTGATGAAGTATTTCCAGCAACATGAAACAACATAGATCAAAAAACGGAAAATTGACATATTGACATCGCCTCAAGCGAAGGAAAATTCGACGGAATTCTTTTTTAAGTATTTCCAGCAACACGAAGCAACATCAAAGAACGGAAAATTGACATGATACAACGTCGCCCCATTCAAAGAAAAATTCTTTATAAAGCATTTCCAGCAATATGAGAGAACACCGATCAAAGAATGGAAAATTGACATCGTGCAAAGAAGAATTTCATGGAATTCTTGATGAAACATTTCCAGCAACACGAAGCAATGTCGATCGAAGAACGGAAAATTGACTTCGTGCAAAGAAGAATTCCATGGAATTCTTTACGAAGCATTTCCAGCAACACGAAGCAATGTCGATCGAAGAACGGAAAATTGACATAGTCCATGCAAAGAAAAATTGCATGGAATTCATATTATGCAGCATTTCCAGCAACACGAAGCAACATGGATGGAAGAACGGAAAATGGACGGGATATCGACATCGTCCCATGCAAAGAAAAATCCTGACACCGGCCCGTGCAAAGAAGCATCAGTTAAAAATGTCTAAAGAAAGAATTTTCATCTCCCCCAGCAACGAGAAATAAATCTCCCGGAAGAGTCACGGGTACATATTAATATTTCCTACAATCAGTCCACTTTGAGTTGGAAACTCAGACTTCATTGTCGGGAAGGAGCGAGTCAGCAACGTGGAAATTCAGGATACGTGTCCAGCAACCAACTGTTGCTGATGGGACGGATTGGAACGAAGTTCCTGGGCAATTTTCCTCGAGTTGGACGAGGAGAATTCCAGTTCTAGAAGAGGCGGCATTAGTGCAAATTTCAGAGGTGGTTATGCAAATCGACGAAGGCGTTCCGCGATGCCGATTGGCCGTCCGAATGGAAAAGGAGAGGAGGCGATAAACGGGGGACGAAGAAGGAAACCCGACGGGGAAGGGAAATACGAATAGTGGGAAAAAAGGTCGGCAAACAAGTGGGTTGCTGGAAAGTGAGTCACGGATTTCCAGGCGCCGAGGTCGGAGGTCGCCGACGAGACGACGTCTGACCCCGATGTCTTAAATCCTCCTGCGAAAATTTACGAGCGGCGCTAATTGTTCACATTGATAACAGAAAAGGCGCGTATAATTGTTTACAAGCAAGCGCCAATGTATTTTTAATTAGTTTATTAATAGTAGCGGAGAATAGATAACCCGGTCTGGCGTTCGATCCGACTCGTGTCTATTGATGTCGAGGCGACCCCACTTCGATGACCAATTCCTGAACAATGATACCGATTGACGACCCTATTGTTCGCTCCAGAATCTCGACAAGTAGGGATTTTCAACGTTTGAACAATGATACCGATTGACGACCCTATTGCTCGCTCCAGAATCTCGACAAATAGGGATTTTCAACGTTTGAACAATGACACCGACTGACGACCCTATTGTTCGCTCCAGAATCTGAACAAGTAGGGATTTTCAACATTTGAACAATGACACTCTCTGACATCCTCTGTCGAGGGTCGTCAGTCGGTGTCATTGTTCCAGAATCTCGACAAGTAGGGATTTTCAACGTTTGAACAATGATACCGATTGACGACCCTATTGTTCGCTCCAGAATCTGAACAAGTAGGGATTTTCAACGTTTGAACAATGATACCGACTGACGACCTTCTTGTTCGCTCCAGAATCTCGACAAATAGGGATTTTCAACATTTGAACAATGATACCGATTGACGAACCTATTGCTCGCTCCAGAATCTCGACAAATAGGGATTTTCAACATTTGAACAATGATACCGATTGACGACCCTATTGTTCGCTTCAGAATCTCGACAAGTAGGGATTTTCAACGTTTGAACAATGATACCGACTGACGACCTTGTTCGCTCCAGAATCTCGACTGGCTACTAAGAGAGCCTAAAGGCGCCCGACGTTCGGTCCAATATTGCCTGCACGGTCAGAAGAATTTCGCCCATATGTCGAAGTAGCTCCGCGTTCAAAGGGTTAATACGTCCGCATACAAATTGTCCAGCAAAAAGTCGATGGGTCTAGTTTACCTTCAAAGGACCTCGAGAAGTCTTTAATCGCAGGACTTCAGATCCTTGAAGATGCTGCAGAGTCTTCAGCAACCGATCCTGACTGTCGCCTCTCCTTCCCACCTTAAGTCCTCCTCTATCTCGCATTCGACCAGCGGATCTCTCGCCCTCCTGGTTTTCCGGCAACGGGAGATGTAGATCAGCACCTAGCCAGCAATAGGCCAGCAAGGAGCAGGAGTCTTTGGGAAATCTATCGAATAACCGTGCCGACCAGCTCGGCAACACTCGGCAGTCAATGCGCACCACTTAGAGCAACAACTCGCAATGAAACTCGATAGAGACGGCGGCCACGTCGGGTCCCTATCAGAAATCCTCCTCTCCGCTCGGCATCGCCGGCTAGGGTCCCTACTCGTCACTCCAAGTCGATTTATAGCGGCCGATATGTCGATAACTTCCTAGGGGCCAGCATGGAGCTTCTTCCCTGCTCTTGGGTCGTCTACGAAGCACGCGTTGTGTTTCGGACCCCGCTCTTCTTTCCGTGGAACCGGTGCATTTACTTGGATCACTGAGCCATGGACAAAAGACTTGGGATAAGTGATGATGGGGTGTATAGAGCATGTGGGATCATTCCTTTGGTTGTTTTGGGTCTTCATAGTCAGGTCACATATCTTGAAGAGACTTGGATCAGGTGCTGATGGGATGGATGGAGCACGTAGGATCATTCCTTTGGTGGTCTTGGGTCTTCATGTTCGGGGTATTAAGACTTGGACCAGGTGTTCATGGGATGTATGGTCAGGGCGTCAAGAATTGGATTGGGTGCTGATGNTTATACCAAATGAAGTGTCCGGTAATAGTCGTGAAGTAAAAAATGTATCTTCATTACAAGGTTCATAAATTATTGAAAATAAATGTCATTGAGATATTTAACGAATTTTTTTTCATACCAAATGAAGTGTCCGGTAATAGTCGTGAAGTAAAAAATGTATCTTCATTACAAGGTTCATAAATTATTGAAAATAAATGTCATTGAGATTTTCAACAAATATTTCGGACATCTTCGAATGAAATCTACAGGAGATCTTAAAAAATCTGTCGCTTTAGACATTTAGCAAAGATTACAAAGAAATATTTAGACATTATTCTATGCTACTAGGGGTTATATTAGGATTGCGTGTAAATATAACGAATCGAATATAGTCCGTGTTTCCAAGAGAGAAATCGTTCCAGTTACTCATCCACCTCTAGAGCTATATTTCCTCCATCCTCCCCCACGTCCACTTCCTCGAATTCCATTCTTTCCAGAATTATCTTCAAAGTGCGTCGATCTCTGACATCATCGGATCCCCTTTCCGCGTCCGCCATCTTGGAATTCCTGTCTCGGAAATCCTCGATTATTATCGAACCGCGTCGATACTCGGAAACATTCAAATTTCTCCCCCAACTTACCGTTAGGTTCTCCTTGATAATATTATTAGGATAATATATATAATATCTTTGATAATATCGTTCAGGGACTCGATTCTAGAAATCCTACGTTCGAATTTCCCGCGCCAAAGTAACGGTTTCCTATTCGACATTCAAATGTTGACCGATTACGCGACTTCCCAATGATGCGACATTTTTCACGTGAATTTAGTCGTATGCGATAAAAAATTCCTGGGACTTTGCAGCGATGTTCTTGTTCATTTTTTAGTACATTTAGTAGCGTTTATGCCGGAGGAACACATTAATTCTGTTAATATGATGCAGAGCTTCACATTTTCACATTTTGTTCATTATGGCGATGTCCACCTCGGATTTCACCAAACTTCCTCGATTTCTGATCATCTTGGACGAATCTTCAAATTGTTTCGATCTTTGTCATTTTCGCATTTTCACATTTTGGCATTTTCGTATTTTCGCATTTCGTTCATTATGGCGGTATCCACATTGATTTCCACGAAACACATTTTAGATTTCACATCACCTCAGGCGAATCTCTGAGTTGTTTCGATCTTTGTTATTTTCACATTTTCGCATTTTCGCATTTTCGAATTTTCGCATTTCGTTCATTATGACGGTATCCACATTGATTTCCACGAAACACATTTTAGATTTCAGATCACTACAGACGAATCTTCGAACTGTTTCGATCTTTGTTATTTTCGCATTTTCGAATTTTCGAATTTTCGAATTTTCGAATTTTCGCATTTTCGCATTTTCGCATTTTCGAATTTTCGAATTTTCGAATTTTCGCATTTTCGCATTTCGTTCGTTATGGCGGTGTCCGCATTGATTTCCACAGAACACTTCTCGATTGAAGTATCTCCCCCATTACCAAATTCTTCGCAACTCGATTTTCAAATTCACCAAATCCCACGCACAAAGCACCTTCCGGTTGGCCTCGTCTTCGGTTTTAGTTAACTCTGCCAAATGCCGAGTGACGCCTCGCGGCTCTCTCGGTGGACTCGCTCGCCTCGCCTCGCCGAGTCGAGGGAGTCGACTCGCAAGAGTGACTCGACTCACCCACTCACCCAGTGCTCGAGTGCTCGAGTGCCCGACACCAGTCCGCGAGAACGACTCGCACGTGCCGAGGGACCGCTCCGTCTATCCTCGTCTTCGGGGACTATCGTCCGAGATTCCAGCACCCCAGGACTTCGAAATCCCGACATGAAGGACATCCTGACCCAGGTGAGGGTTAACGTGAGTGTCGTATGGGGACTTTAGACGACATGACTTGGTTAAGGTTAAGTGAAACGAATCTTTCCATACTTCGATGAAACTTCACAAGAGCTCACAAGGAAACATTCCCAAGTGTCCGCCGGCGATCTTATTGAGTTTCATATATGTTGAGGAACACAAAAATCTAAGAGACACGTGTCTTTTCTATTTTCTTTCTCCGCAATGGTACACATTTAAGAGGGGAACCCCCCAAAGTTTGGCGAAAATTCCATTTTTATTTTTATTTTCGTGGAAACAGTGGAGGGATTTCGACGAAACTTGGCATAAACGTATTCTGTATAAGGACGGTGAAAACACGATATTGTCCAGGGACCTCCAGGGGTGAACTACCCTTCGGGCGATATTTTTTTATAATACCTATTAAACAAGTACTCCTACTTAAGTTCCACTTGCGCCATTTTATATTTATTTTCGTGGAAACAGTGGAGGGATTTCGACGAAACTTTGCATAAACGTATTCTGTATAAGGACGGTGAAAACACAATATTATCCAGGGATGCTACCCCACCTTAAGGGCGTGAACTACCCTTCGGGCGATATTTTTTTGTAATACCTATTAAACAATTACTCCTACTTAAGTTCCACTTACGCCATGTGATTGCTCACGAAAAATGAGGAAATACGTGTTTTTTGCTTTTTGCCAATAAACATTTATCCATCGGTTGAAAACAATGGATAATAATATCAATATAATTTCATTCGATATAATTATTCTTCGAGTTAATAAAATATTTCTATGGTTCGGCGCATTTTTTATTCCGAGTCATGTATGGGTGTACTTTTCTTTTTTTAAATAAAATCGTAACACGTATGACCGTATGAACGGCCAGCTGTTCATAAACGCATCGCGATGAAACCGCGCAGGAAGAGATTTGGCCCGTGGAACTGTTTCATGAAATCTGGGTTATTCGTTCCATTCCCTTTCCGAGGTACGAATTGACTAGACGAAGCCCAGCCAACCGTAGACTTTTGCAAACTTTTCCGCAGTCGTTTACGAACTTTGCAACCTGTTCGCAAAGTTCCGCGGGGCGGGAATTCGAAGGATGCGGAAATTCCGCGCGGAACTGTGTCGATCCGAATAAACGGATGCCCATTCATCCGGGTATGAAATCCCCGGATACTCGTGACTCGAATGGCAAAAGTGTCCGGATGGTCTCGACTTTCTCATTCTCCATCCATTTGGATAATTAAGGCGATATGAAAGTGTGATACATACATACCAGGTGTATAAGCTTAAATCCGCTGTTTTTTAGTCAGAAAAAAATACGTTTCTTCATCCATGTGGATAATTAAGGCGATATGAAAGTGTGATACATACATACCAGGTGTATAAGCTTAAATCCGCTGTTTTTTTAGTCAGAAAAAAATACGTTTCTTCATCCATGTGGATAATTAAGGCGATATGAAAGTGTGAGACATACATACCAGGTGTATAAGCTTAAATCCGCTGTTTTTTAGTCAGAAAAAAACACACGTTTCTCACACACAAACACAAGTTTCGTTGATAAGGGGAGAAATTCGGAGGGTCCCTTCTCCATTTAGCGGCTTTTCATATTCCCGAGACCGAGGTATCGGGTCCTTGGGTAGAAATTCCCAAAGTTTTCGAGCCAAGACGAGAAGGACCTTCCCCGAGATTAGATCTTTAATAAACGCTTCGCCTCGACCTCGCGCCTTAACCTCTTAGGACTTCCGGTTAGAACCGGCAAGTAAGGTCTTAAGGTCTTAGAGATTTCATAAACCCGGCCACGACGAGGAGACTTTTCCACCGAAAGATACGCAACAGACTCCTTTGCCAAGTCCTATCTTTTAATTTCACATTTTCAATCACTACTAACTCCCCGGTTTTACTTTCCACGGTTTAAATAAACCCTGATACGTCCCCGACGGTTCCGCCCTAACCTATTCGCTTTTTTTTCAACTTAATTAACTTGAACTGATTCTTTTCAGACAAAGTTAACAGTATAAATCAGACGAGTAGAGGCGAGATAAAGCGTTTAGAGGCAAGAGGCATAGAAAATGTGGTTTTTATCGAGTAAAATAAAAAAAAAAAAAAGTGGTATTTTAAAGGTTATCTCGAAAGCGCCACGCCGATAGAGTGCCGATAGAGAGGTTAGAGAGGCCTTTTCGCGGCCGATCGAGGCTTCGTCGTATTTGTCTTGGTCTTCGACGTCGTCTTGTGGTCGTAGGTCTGTTATCCGGAAGTGGGCCGCGTTTTAAAATAGAACCGACCTTTGACTTCGATTCGTTTATTTAGCGATAGGCGTCGAGTCGTGCAATTAAAGGAGAAAAAAAGGGGCGACGGTGGAGGCCTCTGCGCGCCTCTTGCGCCATCTAGGACAGGGCCTCTAAAGCATCCGAAGATCAAAAAAGACATGAATAAGGTTGCTGTAAAAAATAATCTTTTTTTTTTTTAACAGTATACAAATACGATTCACTCCAAAAATGCCACTTCTTCCATCCGCTTAATTGAAACGATCCGCGGATATTTTCACTTCCTCGAAGGGATTAGTAACGAAGTTTCTAGTAAAGTCAAGGGATGATTCCTCAGTTCCAGAAGGACGGCTACGTCGTCCTGGAAGGGTTTTTCAACGACCAGGAAGTCGAAGAGATGAAGTCGAGCGGTGAGGAATTCACGACGAATCTCCCGCCGGAAAGCGAGAGAAAGATTTTCACGACCGTCGAGACACCTCAGGTGAGGCAAGAATCTCTCCCTCCTCTCTTAGAATTTGAAATAAAATGGAAAAGATACAGGGTTTGTCCGAAAAGTAATGTCAGTGATTTAATCGCGAAGCGACTATACGTCGCAGCGCCCTCCACCGGTTGGGATCGGCGGAGCGGGCAGTCGACTTCCAATTTTTTTCCATAGCTTAGATTCCTCGGAATGGGTTGCATTAATTTGTACAAGTAAACAGAGGGGAGTACTTACGGTGAGAATTTTTTGGGACCGCTAGAAGTGGCCTTGGCAGCTAGAAAAATTCAGATACCCTCGAACCTCCCAGGTCCTCGAAAACGTTAGAACGACTATGTTCAAGAATTTTTTTCCATAGCTCAGATTCCTCGGAATGGGTTGCATTAATTTGTACAAGTAAACAGAGGGGAGTACTTACGGTGAGAATTTTTTGGGACCGATTGGGGTGGCCTTGACAGCTGGAAAAATCCAGAGCCACCCAGAACCTCCCAGGCCCTCGGTTTCTATAATCATTTCGATAATCTATACATTTTTTTAAATCGACTCCCTGACATTACTTTTCGGACAAACCTTGTACATTCCCAGGAAGATATTGCTCATTCCGATATGCATTTTATTGATGTTAATGGTTCGTGTCCAGAGTCGGGACTCGTATTTCCTGGAGAGCGCTCTTAAAGTCAGCTTCTTCTTCGAGAGCGAGGCCCTGGACGAAAACGGGAAGCTGAAGGTCCATCCAAGAGTTTCCTTAAACAAGGTTAGGTTCGAATTAACGGCGTTAAATACGGATTTGCATATTTCCTGAATGAACAACTTAATAGAATAATCGAATAATCAATAAGATTTACGTCTCAGGTGGGACACGCTTTGCACTGGTTGCATCCGACCTTTAAGAAATTCACATTCGACGAGAGGATAAAGGAAACGACATTTCAGTTGAATCTTCAGGAACCTGCCGTGTGCCAATCCATGTATATCTATAAGAATCCTGGTATAGGCTCCGAAGGTAATTATACCCTACTAGCACAAAATATAGGAGGAATATTTTCTGCTACTAGGGATAATTTTTTAATAATTATTCTGACGCTTGAAACGTTTCAGTTAAAATGCACCAGGACTCGACATACGTCCACACGGAACCCCCGAATGTCGTGAATATTTNAAATGTAGAATATTCGTCAAATATATAGAAAATGTAGGAGGAATATTTTCTGCTGCTAGGGATAATTTTTTAATAATTATTCTGACGCTTGAAACGTTTCAGTGAATTTTTAAAAAATGTAGAATATTCGTCAAATATATAGAAAATATAGGAGGAATATTTTCTGCTGCTAGGGATAATTTTTTAATAGTTATTCTGACGCTTGAAACGTTTCAGTGAATTTTTAAAAAATGTAGAACATATTCGTTAAATATATAGAAAATGTAGGAATATTTTCTGCTACTAGGGATCATTTTTTAATAGTTATTCTGACGCTTGAAACGTTTCAGTGAATTTTTAATAAATGTAGAACATATTCGTTAAATATATAGAAAATATAGGAATATTTTCTGCTACTAGGGATAATTTTTTAATAGTTATTCTGACGCTTGAAACGTTACAGAAAATTTTTAAAAAATGTAGAACATTCGTTAAATATATAGAAAATATTGGAATATTTTCTGCTACTAGGGATAATTTTTTAATAGTTATTCTGATGCTTGAAACGTTTCAGTTAAAATGCACCAGGACTCGACATACGTCCACACGGAACCCCCGAATGTCGTGGGCTTTTGGATAGCTCTAGACGATGCTGTCCAGGAAAACGGATGCTTATGGATAGCTCCAGGGTCTCACCAAAGCGGTGTACATAGGCGTTACATAAGGAACAAAGATCCCGAGTCCAAAGAATTATTAATATACGACAAAGCCGCCCCTTGTTACCCCCTGAGCAACTTTCGCCCAGTTCCAGTGAACAAAGGATCCTGCATTATATTAAATGGACAAGTGGTTCATTTTTCAAAGGCAAATCGCAGTGAAAAATCCCGCCACGCTTATACTTTTCACGTAATTGAAACTAAACATACAGCTTACTCTAAAGACAATTGGTTGCAGCCTGGAGAACACGGATTCCCCCTTCTATATAGGAACTGACGTCCTAGGATTATTTATTTATAATAATAATTACTATTTAACCCTAGATTTATCAAATTCCAATTGCGGGAAACGTTATTTCTTATTTTTTATGCCAATTTTTCTTTGGCTTTATCATTGGACTGATACGGACATACGTGCAAAGTTTATAAATTAATAGTGTATAATTTCTATTGTAGTCCCATTGTGAATATTAATGTTGAGATATTCAAGGAAGGATGGCAGTTAATTTTCAAATTTTCGAATTGCAGTAACCGTTATTTCTCATTTTGTATGCCAATTATTCCTTGGTTTTATCATTGTACCGATATGGACATACGTGCAAAGTTGATAAATTAATAGTGTTTAATTTGTATTGTAATTCCATTGTGAATATTAATGTTGAGATATTCAAGGAAGGATGACAGTTAATTTTCGAATTTTCGAATTGCAGTAACCGTTATTTCTTTTTCCTCGCAATTATTCCTGGCTTTTATCATCAAACTGATACGTCATATAGAAGGCGAGTAGTGGGTGTAAGATAAATAAAGAATGCAATTCCCTGTATATCGCCATAAGATTAAGAGAGATGGAGAGGTGATTACAGCGCCGCCATCCGTAGGCTAACGTACTATCGAGCATCGAACGTCCGTATCCTTCTACGCTTCTATGGAGACTTCTGAATTCTTTGGTAAAGGCCAAAAAATTCAGTCACTGGCGAATCGGATTCCTCTGACAAGCCTTAATCTACCAATTGTTATCTCGCCCAACATTCCATACCTTAACTTAAACAATATATAAAAATAAACAATGTAACGCTGTGTCTTAACGAGAAACAAAAGACCTTCGTCGGTAAGGTAGCACTACAGCGACGTGTCCGTTACCATAGCTACCATAAACAGTTTAAATAATCGTTATCAAATATGTCAATATACACTTTTGTAATATCACAATGCAGGGGATTTAATACGCCATTCGACCACTGGGAGGCGCACTAGTACGTAGATTTACGTACACCGGAAGATGGCCATCCGACAGAAATGTCCGCTGACTTCTTGTAATTGGTGCAAGCCTCTTTTCAGGGTGTCTTGTTTGTTCTTCAAGCAGCAATAAACATCCAAGGGAGTCAGTTCTCTATCTATCTCCCGTATCTCAGGAATGGTGAAATTAACCAACGCGTGGTACAATGCCTTAACAGCTCGATGGTCGATGTGGATAAGGTTAACCTCTTCTAACGCTCTGCAAAATAAAATAATATTACTAACTCGATTATTTCTGACATACGTTAAGAAGATATGAAAGGCGCTGAGTAATTTAATCCAACTGAAATTCATCTATATCTATGATAGAGGTGAAAATCGTTTCTAGGTTAGTTTTCATTGTCCCTCGCTGGTGGTACGTACCCACTCAGAGTCTGCAACAACCGATTCACATTCGCAGCCAACTCGGGTTGCATTTCCTTGATGTCTTCCGATCTCATAGGTGGATTCGCCTTTTTATAGAGAATAGAACAAGGCATGCCCAAAGCTTCGCAAGCCATCCCACAGACGTCTCTAGCGAAGACATAAAGTTCCTCGATGAAGAGCAAAGCCTTTTCTGCTCTGCGTTCCTGTTCTTCGAAACTCCCCACCGAGCCAAATTCGTTTCTTAGCTTCCTCTCCGATATCAACTTTGTGTTCCCCTCGGATCTCTGCTTCAGTTCCTATTCAAAGCAACGACAAACTATTAACTAGTGTTCAGTGCGTCACATTACCTGGGTAATGTAATAATAAAAATACAAGTAAATGGAAAATCATCGCAAGCACAAAATCACAAATTAAAGGAAGCAACGATAAACTATTAACTAGAATTTTTAGTGCGTAACATTACCCAGGTGTTTTAATAACATTGTTATTGTTTATAACTTATTGCTCACCTCCAGACTCTTCGAGGTACGGTATATGTGGTCTGCGTATTTTTCCACCTTCGCCATTTGGACCAAATCGTTGCACTTGTCTAAAACTGCAATAACGTCTGCAAGCTTGCGACCATTTGCTGTAAAATAATAAATAAATAATTATTAGGTCGACGGCCATTGTTTGCGAAACTTCTCTTCGTGCAGGGGTGAAAGCATTATAAATATTTCGATTCTTTCTTCAGCAGTCGAGGAATACGTACGTGGGACATTTTGTATGATTTGCAATAAATCCTTTAACAATGATTCTGCTCGTCTAAGAAAGGACTCCCCTACGGCAGCAATCCAGTGTTTAAGGGCGCATTTTAAGACATCGACACAGGACCAAGGGGGTTTAATTATCGTGTACTTTTCCCACAGGTCGCCGTAGAGCTTCTGCATCTCCAATGCCACGATCTGAAAGGAGATTCTTTTAAAATATACTGAATAGAAAGTGTGGAAAAACAGAGACGAAGCCTCACTTTAGTTAAAAAGGACTTCAGGACAGCCTTCGTCTCCTCAAAAATGTCATCGGTAAGCAAGAGTTCATTCTCTTCGGAGTCCTCTGGCTCATCGGAAGCCTGCCATGTCCTCTCTTCTTTGTTCGAAGCACTCAGAAAGTCTATTTTCTCAAGAGGATCCTGCTTTCCGAGGGTTATCAAGTCGTAGATCATCGCCTTGTTGCAGAGGTTCTGATCGTAGGACAGCAAAACCTTAAAGAATTAACAGGAAATCATTAAAATAACGAGACAGTGAATTTCTTTTTTCTTTTTATCCCTTTCTTAAGAGAAATTCACTTACGACCGTTTTCCCCAAGTCGCGGATTTGTAGACAGGTCTGCAGGATCTCATCGTCAGGACAGTCGACGAAGAACTTCTCCCTGTTTCTTTCGACATCCTCCGGAGTCTGTCCTTTGACTCTGGGATGCTTCGATGAGAAGTGGAAGTTCAGAAATTTAATAGCCCTACGAGCCTTCGCTTGCAAAATCTGAGTTCTCGAAGAGTCTTTGTTGTCCTTTATGTAATCCAATTCCTAAGTTGACAAAAAGGAGTATTAAATTAAACAGTAGAAACAATGTTAAATAATTATTTTTAAGAGTAATAGTGGGAAGAAATTTCCTACACCGTAGTTTGATTTTAATCATCGATGTAGATAGGCACTTTAAAAAAAAATTGATACGAAGGTAAAGGATTAAACAGGTATCGATACTAACTCTTATCACAGTCCAAGGCACGACGATTATAGGCCGTCCATGCGTTCTGAAAACGGCGTCTCTAGCCTCTTCTATTGCTTGTAGTTTCGACAGAAAGACATTAGTGTCTATAACGATGAATAATTCTTGGCCAGGAATTTGAGCCGAAGTGTTAAAAAGATCCAAAGTATTTTCTTGGACACCTTTCGAAGCCATGGGGTCATCGGAGCACAACTGGGACCTTACGACTTGAACCTGTAACGATGAATCGAAAAGTCTAGAGGACCTCTGAAGCCAAGATTGAATTTATTTATGTAATTTGTTTAAAACTCAGGATTAAACTCTTTAAACACTATTCAGGATTTTTATTAGCTTTGATTGAATAGTGCCAAAATCTCTCTGCGAGAGGCAGTGCCTACTTTACCTCGAACATTATCTTTTCGTCTTCGATAGGCTCCCACTCCATTTCTTCGTAGTATGGTTCGCTGCTGCATTGTTGTATGAGATTCTCCAAAGTGACCGATCGATTAGCTGGAGAACTTGTCGAAAGACTTGGCTGACGTCTCTTCGCTTGGGAGTTATCGAATGCCTGGCCATTTTCCAAACGTGCTTCCAGAGATCTCATACGAGCTTCTGCGTTCTTGTACAAGCTTGAAGGAGCTTTAAATTTAATCCATATTATATATTTAACGTACATACAACAAAGGAACGGGGCAAGTTAATTCAGAGAGTTACGAAGAATCGAAACATACTTCTGTAATTATTGTTGTTCGGTGCAACTTTACTAGGACTGAACGACAGTCTCTTATCTTTTTTCTGCACTGGGGGTTCGTCGTCAGTAGTCCTCTCGAGGCTTCTCCTAAGATTTTCCATACGTGCCTGTGCGATGTTCTTCCTTGGCACCACATTTGTCCCGATGTTCAAAGCCACAGATACGTCGAAATTATTATTACCTCCTTTGCCAACCTTTTTGCTTATTAATACTGTACCAGTGCTCCTCTCGTTATCCGGCGTAAGGTTCACATTGGCAATTATGTTATTCACAGGAGAAGGTACATCGGTTTTCTTTGCGATAACCACACTTCGAGAGCCCTGTTTGCTCCGTCTACCAGTTTTTGTTGCACTATGAGTGCTCACGTTAGACAAAGAAGCATCATCTTCAATTTCTAATAACGGAGCAGCACCACCATCAGAGACGATAGACTTTTTCCCAATTACAGGCAACACCGAAGAGTGTCCCGCTTTAGCTGGAGATTCTGTTTCCGAAGTAGGAACTGGAACCAATCTTGCAGAGCTGCGTCGACTCGTCCTCTTGGTCCCTTTCGGACTCACTGCTTGCCGTGCAGTCGTATCCTTCGTTACTTGTGTCGTTGTCGGAGACTCTCTTTGCAAAGGCTCCAGGACTTCTAACCTCTCTGGAGATCCTGGCGGTGACACACAGGTTGCAGGTTTTCCTTTTTTTCCACCTTGCTTTTGCTTAGTTTGCGCAGCTTGCTGCATCCTTCTAATCATTTTCTCACGAATCTCTCGCATCTGCGGAGTCTCAATTTCTGGTGAAGTCGACCGAGGCTGTATGCTCCGTTTCGCCTGCAATTTTGGACGCAGCCTAGGATCGACGCAACTAACATCACCGATGTTGCTCGTGTCACCGTCTGCACTCTCCTGCTTCCTCTTACTCTTCCGTGGAGTGTTCTCTACCGATTCAGGCTTCTGGATACGTTTCGCCCGTAATACCGAACGCTGTTCAGATTCGCTTTGAGCGCCATCATCGTCCTTGTCATCAGGTGCCGTTAATTTATCGTCACTGCTCGCACCAATTTCCAAGTTCTTCCTCTTCTTTTCGCGTACCCGAGAAGTATCCGTTACTAAAGTATTCTCAGCAACGGATTTCTGTTGCCGAGAACGCTTCCCCTGTAACTTCCTACGCTGCTCGGACTCGTCGAGACGACTGTTGTCATCCATCGTGGATGTCATAGGAGGCGACGCTGGAGTCGATTCATCATCGTCGCTCTCGTCGTCGTCGCGGTTTCTCTTTCTGGAATATCTTCCCTGCTTTGGCGTTGTCTACGTATTGAAAAACATAAATTACTTCTAAATACTACAAAAATCAATGAAGATAAAGTATTACAATTTAAAATACATGAAGTATTAAGCTTTTAAATGGTAAGAAATACCATGTCAATATTATGACGGAACGTCTCACCATTTCATCCTTTTCTTGTGGAAGACGCCACGATGACTTATTTGTTTTGACATTGAAATAATAAACTCTGTCCGGGTGGCTCTTCGAGGTGACCACTTTCCAACCTTTTGGCAGAGTGGATTGCTTCATTTCACCAGAAATTTTAGAACCTCTTATTTACAAAGACTCTCTCTTTAGACCACGTTTTACATTGCTTGCTGACGCCCAGAAGTTATTTCTCAAATTGACAACAATTTCGCAAGATAAACACAGACGAAGTTACAACTCCATTAATTACGTCACGCGTTTTAATACTCGCTTATGTTGCTAAATTCCAGGTTATACAACACTATGACAAATTTAATGTACATACATAACCTATGAATAAGTATGCGACATCAATTGCTTGAATATACCGCAGATGGATTTTAGGTTGGCGGCATTTACGTCTCCACTATCGATATTTATTAAATACTGGATTAGATAAATCCAGTTTAAGTGCGCTCCATCAACTGATTTTATTAGCTACGTAAACGTATTACTAAATATAGATCGAATCAAGGCGAGTTCATATGTACAAAAGAGCCGCACGAAAGCGCGCCACCTCCGCGCGCCACCGCTAGATGGCAGCACCGACTCTAGCAAGTGTCAAAATTGTAATGTCGTCGTGAGTGCTGCGATCCAAAGCCCTCCGCTCTTTGTTTTAACCTCCTGCCGAGCAGGACGATTCAACGACCACCGTTTCCAGCAGAAGCCTAACCAAAATCATTCGTAACAGCAGAGAATAGGAATTATCACGAGATAATCCCCCAGGTAGTAAAAATGTCTCTCGACACGCTGATCGCTACTCTACAATGGGGCGGAACATGGAACCTGATGATCTAACTCCCGAGTTATTCTTTTATTAACTATTCCACGCTGCATTCTTTAAACAGCCGTTTTGCGAGCCTCTAACACGCAGCTTAACTCTATGCCTGTCAGACGACCCGACACGACAAAGGATAAAAAATGACAGAAGCTTCCTGTTATTATTATACGTCACCTATTCCAATTATAATCTGCGAAGTAAACAGCTCCATACAACTACTTACCAGTAATGATTACGCATAGTAGGTGAAAAAAAAAAGCCAAGCGTTGCATCGATCGCTCTTGTCTCTTTCTCTCTTCGTAAGTATTAAGCGAGCGCCAAAAGAAGGCGTTATTAACGTTTGAGTACCGGAGGTTTTTAAAATAACTATCGAATAATGCTGAACAGTGTAATAGTGCTTTCTGAATGGGATGCGAAACGATCTAAGCAGTGCGATAGCGCTGCTTTTATTCTGTATCAAAAAATTTGTCTGACAATGCATCTGGAATATTGAGCACGTTTCGTATCGTTCAAATGCACTGGGTTTTTTCTATGTGAAATCTGAAGAGCGCGAAAGCAGGACTCAAACGGTTAATAATTTCAGTTTTTATTGTTTGAGATTGGTAACGATATATTTTATGTGTCATTGGAAACGGTAGAGTGTAGGAAATGAGCTGATGCCTTTTTTTTCTTCGCTATTGCGTTGTACGAGTCTTGTTTTACAGAAAATATTGAGACGGAGATACGTTTTGATCATTGTGTATTAAAAAAACATTTCACCGCTTGTTCTCCTCTTTTCTCTTAAGAAGTATTGAGCAAACGCCAAAGGAAAGCGTTATGTATTTTCTGACGTATGTATCGCATCTGCTTTATTGTTTGTCTCGGGTTCTTGGCTGTCAAGTGATCTAATATAACAAAGGAATGAAAATAACAGGAGCCTGCTGCGAGTGATTATACATGTGACGATTATACATCACCTATTCCAATTATAATCATCGGAGTAAACAACTTTATATATCTTGTTCTTAATAACTCTTATATACGTAGCGTACTAAAAATCCAATTACTTTATAAAATAATTTAGCAAGGGAAACGTCATGTAGTCCTCCCTTTCTTTATTTAGCGTTACTAATTATAAACACAATGTATCGTCACAAATAGTTCGATGGGAAAAAACAGTCGATTTAATTTTTTTTTACAGCATTGCTCTGTACGATAATTTATTTAAAAGCGTCAAAACGTTAAAATGTGAGGAATTGTACATATCTTTGCATGCATGATATCTTAAAGTCTAATAACGAGGGAAATTATTTTGCTTTAGCCCATCATAACCTAAATTTTTTTCTCAAGCGAAGAAAAAACTGATATAACCTGAAATTTGCAAATATGACCTGTGTTAAAACATCTATTTGGTTTTGTTTCTGTAGTTTGAAAATATAGATATTTAAACTAATCACTAAGACGTTACAATTGTCAAATGTTTAATTTCGAAATACATTCAGGCGAACTAATAACTGCGACACTACGTTTACCAAATGTTTAATCTCCCTGCTGACTGATTGCAGATTTAATATCCTACTAAAACCAATTCGTCACAATTATATCTTCAATTTTGTATCGATTAAAAAAGTCCTGCGACACTATATTTTAATTTCTGGCATGGATAAAAAAGCAGAGTATCATTGATCGAAGCTGTATAAGCTAATAAATAAAAGTAAATCTGAAGACAGCGTCGCAAGACTTTTTACCAGACTCGATAATGTTAATTATCGTTCCTTCTCTTCTTTCTTCCAGTGTTTCCAATTGACTGTCGCACAATGTCTGGGGAGCAATTCTCATTGGTGTGGAACAGCTTTCCGAGGAACCTGTCTTCCGGTTTGTATACGTTGTTGACAGACGAGCACCTTGTCGATGTCACCCTCGCTGCGGAGGGGCAAATCCTGAGGGCTCACAAGTTAATACTCTCGGTCTGCAGTACATATTTCAGAGAACTTTTTAAGGTATATTAGATGCAGATGCATTCATACAAACCCATACAAGGCATCGATGAATCCATTTGTATATAATAATGATCGATAGCTTACAGAAATACTGTTTAAGACTATATGAAAGCCGCTGAGAAATTTAATCGAGGCTGATAAATGAAAATTCATCGATACCCTTTTCAGAGTCTGAAAGTGTTATTATATATATATATTGCTTACCAAAACATATTTTATACAATTTAATATCATGAAAGCTTCCTATTATTGTTATTAATTATCTGCATCGATCAGGTTTGAATTATCTAATTATAGTTAACATAGGCTTTCGACATCGAGCAGCTTTACGAGAAGGGATAAAATCTTTGTGTCCTATCTTTGCTGCTTTATGTGTTATTAAATATATATTTATGTTTAATTATTACCTTGTATTTACTAAGGTATTATATTTTCCAGGGAAATTCATGCAAGCATCCTATAGTGATACTAAAGGATGTCAATTATCGAGATTTATCGGCGATGCTGCATTTCATGTATCAGGGGGAAGTTAACATTAAACAAGAGGACATCGCTAGCTTCCTAAAAGTTGCCGAAACCCTGCAAATAAAAGGTCTTACTAAGGATACACAAAGTGAGGTATATCTTACTATACTTAACACGTTATCTCGCGTGAAAAATGATGTATGGCTCACGCGAGATCTTTTAAGTCACTGCATGTCTTTTAACAATAATTCATTTGAAAATTTATGTTCGGTAATACATATTTACTGGCACCTTTGAACATTTATTTTTCATTAACTCTCTCGATACCAAAGCTGCTTAAAATTTTTACCGATGAAGGAACTATAGTGGGACGAATGGGTTTTTTTAAGGGGGTACGATGCCTTTACATATAAAAAATTGACTCGTCTTGCTTTTCAAAAGAGGATTATAATCATTTATGATTTTTATTCTAGTCCATGATAAATAAATAAATTTCTGATGAATAATGAAATCTCAGTTTTAGGATCTACTTTAGCGCCTCCATATTCCCGTGGCGAAAATTTGAACTAATCGATACCCCCAATTTTGGGAATACTTTCCTCAACGATTAGACTTCCTATGTATACAGGCTGACTCATATCACTTTAAATCTAAGATTAAAGGACATGTTTGTCAAACGCATTGAACATAAAGAAACACGTAGAACATTGTTTATTGTAAAAACACCCTGAAAATATGATTTAATCTATCCAGGAGAAGTTTTCGAAGGAGGCGGAAGAGCTGGACCAGCTTCTGCAGGCAGACAAGAACGATGCAGAGTCCGTAGAGCCGGATACATGTTTGGAGACCTTCGAGAACATGCCTGGACCCAGAGAAGACGTGGACTTCAATCTCCAGGAGGCGAACTCCAGCCGGGAGAACCCGGAGGTGCCAACAGACAGGGAAATGCAGTCTGACGAGACCGCTAATCGACCAGGAACTGAGAACGAAACGGAGCATGCTATGCAAAACATCCGGAACATGTTCACCGAACATTGCGGAAACGCGGAGCAGTCTTCTAGTACCGGAGAAGAGCCTTTAGATTATACTTCCGATGTTGGGAGATTCACTAAAACGAAACAAGAGCCTCCGGATTATGCTTTCGGGGTCGAGGCGGACGCAGGGTACAAACATTTCAGGATGAACAAAACTCCTCGTCCAGAAGGAAGTGTACAAAACCAAGGTTGGGTTTTGATTCCATTTTTGCGATGATACGTTATTTTTATCCCTTCTTGTTTGTGGGAATTTAAATAGTATTGGTATTGTCAGGAAATGCACTTCTTTTTGTGATTGTTCGGAAGGAAGTGTACAAGACCAAGTTTGGGTTTTGTTCCCATTTTCATGATAATACATTATTTTGTATCGATTCTTGGTTGTGGGAATTTAAATAGTATTTGTATCAGAAATTCCACTTCTTTTTGTGATTGTTCGGAAGGAAGTGTACAAGACCAAGTTTGGGTTTTGTTCCCATTTTCATGATAATACATTATGTTGTATCGCTTCTTGTTCGAAAAATGGCTGGCTCGTAATTGCTAACATCGTAATTTGTTTCTATTAGTCGGTTGGAAAAAAGATTATATTACGTTATTATATATAAAATATATAATAACGTAATTTAATAAAGATTATATTATATGGCATACGTATGGATTTTCCACCGAATGATTGTTTATTGTATTTCAGACTTTGTGCCAAATTCTCAACTGATGTCGTACAATCCAAGTTGCCAAGACGAATCCATAGGTATGCTTCCAACACCACGTAAGGATTATTCACTTTTCATTTTATGCACTTAAGGTGAAGTGAAACACGTCGAGATATTTCATCGACGTCGGTAAGAATGATTCTTCTAAATACCTACCTTAACGACGTTGGAATTTATATCGACAGCTGTGTCGAATTATATTGGGAATTGTACTAAATGGCATACTCCATATGTCATTTTCATGCAATAATTATGAAGAAATCAAAGTAAAGCTCCAGAAATCCCCTGGTTTTATGGTTTCTGAGGCTCTAATTGACTGCAGAGGGATCCTCTGCGCCATCTGTGATTTCCAGGTCAACTAATTGTTCACTCCGAGACCTCGTTTTCTCAAAGTTTCAGCATAGCAGTGCATAAGACACTTTTTTTGCCTTTTGTCTCGTTCAAATGCGAATTTATCAATTACCAGAGTGTTCTAAATTGTTGTAAAATTGTCCTAACATTTTTATTCTACTAAATAGCGTACTCAATATGTCGTTTTCGTGCAATAATTATGAAGAAGTCGAAGTAAAGCTCCAGAAATCCCCTGGTTTTATGGTTTCTGAGGCCCTAATTGACTGCAGAGGGACCCCCTGCGCCATCTGTGATTTCCAGGTCGACTAAATTTTCACTCCGAGACCTCGTGTTCCCATCGTTTTAACGTAGAAGCGCATAAAACCATATAAAAACCAACGTCGGCAGCGTAGGTATCTAGAAAAATCATTTTTACCGACGTCGATCTTCCACTTCACCTTAATAATACATCTACTCCAATTGAAGCAGCAGTAGCAAACCCTTTTTCAACAAGATTTCGTTTCAGGACTGCACAGCTCGGAGGCGCCCTTCCAGGGCGACTTTGCATACGACTCTACGAGCTACAGCAGGGGCAGAAGGACCGTGAAGGGCATCCCCGGGAGCAGCCTCCCCCTGGAGACGACTCTGCGCGTCGTCTCCGAGCTGGGGCCGACGTTGCGCATGGAGAGGGGCAAGGTCATCCGCATGTACTCCTGTCCCTGGTGCCTACGTCACTTCACCCGGAAGGAGAACCTTAAGCTCCACGTGCGGTATATACACGGCCCCCTCGAAAGCCTAACCTGCAAGCTCTGCGGCAACAAGTACAAGAACAGCAACAGCCTCCGGGTGCACTCCTACCTCTACCACAACGCCAAGCGGAACAAACACAACAAGCCGCCCCTCGTCAGCGGAAACGCGTGAACGCCGAAGCTTCTCCAAGGGGCCGATAGTGTCAACGAACAATCTCTTTGTTACATACATATGCATAGATATATATCTAGATACAGGGTAGAACGGCCAGGGTGGACGCGTTAAGGCGATGTGAAACACGTCGAGGAACTTGATCGACGTCGTTCCATATTTTCCCTTTAATTGATTATTCTAACGACTGTTTAAGACCAGCGGCGCCATCTGTGACGTTTCGCTGTAACTAAATTTATCCTCTAAGGACACGCGTTAATCAGCATCCTCTTGCAACTGTTCATGAAAGTATTTTCCATATTTTCCCTTGAATTAATTATTCTAACGACTGTTTAGGACTAACGGCGCCATCTGTGACGTTTCGCTGTAACTAAATTTATCCTCTAAGGACACGCGTTAATCAGCATCCTCTTGCAATTGTTAGTGAAATTATTTTCCATACTTTCTCATCCTCTCTCGCCTTGTCTCTTCTGTCCATCCTGGCTGTTACATCCTGTACATATATCTATATATTATATTATACAAAATATGTAGTGCCGAATGAAAATTGTTATTATATTTATACCGAGGACGCGCCTGCGCGCTGAGAGGTTTTTCCACTGATAACGAGTCCGGAGGTTTGATATACTGGGCGACCTGATAATCAATCGGCGATCCTGAGAAGCAGTGCCGGCCTTTCACGTTTGCAGATGCAAAGAAAGAAACTAAAGAGGGTTCACTTCTGCGCTGAAAACGGATTTTTTGCCATGGTCTTGTTAATCAAGTCTGAAATTATCGAGAAACTCCGCGAGAGGGCGACGGTGCGGCGTCGCGCGCCATTTTTGAAGTTTTTTAATTCGCCCACTCTACGTGGCTCTTTCGGTTAATTTATTCAGTGCCAATGACATTGTAAATAACATTACTCTAGTTTCTTCCCGCATTTGTTTGTTAGACCCGTACCTATTATTGTATTCTACATTAAACATGTTAATTATAAAGATCGGATTACTGTACCGTCCACAAACCTCGTTATACCGTGTTCCATTTTTATATTTAAGATATGAAAGGCGCTGAGATATTTAATCGACGTCGATAAATTGAAATTCATATATACCCTTTTTGGGGGGAACGTCATTTTGAATTCTTAAGGGGTAACATAAACTGGCACGTCTCGTTACCGACATTTATATTTATGATTAAATTTTTTACAGTCTACGTTGAGAATTATACTAACTGAAGCGTTCTATATGTTATTTCGGTTAAATAATCATGAAGAGATCATTGTAAAACTGTCGAAATCCCGGGAATTCATTATTCTAACGACTGTTTAAGACCAGCGGCGCCATCTGTGACGTTTAGCTGTAACTAATTTTTTCTCTAAAGACCCGCGTTACCCTCGGGACGAGCCAGCAATCTCTTGCAATTGTTTGTTAACGTATTTTCCATATTTTTCTATCTGACTCTGAAGTATTCCATTTATACAGTATTCTAAATTATTCAAGCTGTCCTGAAACTCTTCATTTTTAATTCTAAGCCTCCAAAAAGCGTAAAACAGCAAAACTGTGGGAACCATCCACAACTGCAAAGTCACTGTTAAGTTAATGCATTGTAACAAATGTTATATTAATTATTAGTTTTAAATTATGTAACTGTTAGGTTTGGTGTTTAGTGGGAATTTAATTTTTGTCTTTATTCCAGGATTGGTCATTATGCCGGAAAAGGAACTGAGATTAGATTGGACCTCCATTTTCAGTGATTCGAGTCATCCTTTAGAAGGCAAACCATTTTATTGAGCGAATCTGAAAGTGGTGTTGATCTTTTTTAATTGTTGATAATTTTTGTATTGGCTTTGCCTTCACGGGAAACATCATGTGTTTAATATTTGGACGAGTGGAGGGATTCCCGAGCCAATATCCTGAGAATAAAACACCAGTGACTGTGGATGTCGTGGAAGCTGGAATAATCACGGCTTTTGTTTTAGTTGCCGTTGCATTTCTTGCAATTATTCCCGGGTATAGTAAAAAAAGAGTACGTAACTCTTGTAATTTCGTTTCGATTGTTTAGCCTAACCTATTCGATTTTTGTATCACTCGCAATTTCATTTCGACTGTTTTACTCTTTTTTGTATCGCTTGCTATTTCATTTTTATTGTTTGGCATCTTTTAATTCATTTCTGTATCATTTGCCATTTTATTTTCACTATTTTAGTCTGTTTTTGTATCACTTGGAATTTCATTTTGATTGTTTGGCATTTTTTACTCCATTTTTGTATCGCTTGCTATTTCATTTTTATTGTTTGGCATCTTTTAATTCATTTCTGTATCATTTGCAATTTTATTTGGACTATTTTACTGTGTTTTTGTATCACTTGCCATTTCATTTTTATTGTTTGGCATTTTTTACTCAATTTTTGCATCACTCGCAATTTCATTTTGACTATTTTACTCCACTTTGCATCACTTTCAATTTCATTTTGAGTATTTTGCATGTTTTAATTCATTTCTGTATCACTTACAATTTAATTTTGTTTATTTGGCACATTTTTCTCCATTTTTGTATCACTTGCAATTTAATTTTGATTGTTTGGCACATTGTACTCCATTTTTGTATCACGTTCAATTTTATTTGGATTATTTCGAATTAATTTATTGAACTTTATTTTGATTATTTTGCATGTGTTATTCCATTTTTGTATCGCTTGCAATTTCATTTTGATTATTTTGCGCGTTTTTTCTTTCTTTCTTATCTTTATGAGCGTTTATCTTAATTTATAAAATATAATAAAAAATTCTCCAGAGTATCTACAACATCGCCAAGGTCACTTGCAGCATTTTAATAGGATGCATCATAATGGGTAAATTTAGCCTTAATGATACTGAAATGATTGCCCCATAATGTTAGAAAAATTATTTAAACAATTTCCAACTTATTAAGTGCTTTTTTTATTTAGTGGGAAATTTTGGGCAAGAGTGGGAAATCGGAATCGTCGACACGAAAACGCCATACAGAGCTGGAGAAAAAAGCGCCATTCAAGCTCGCATCGGCCTTAAAATCGGTTTGCGTTCTGTAAACATTACATTGCAAGGTAATCCATTCAATAAAAATAATTAGACTGTAAATCAAACGAAGGAAATGGAATTATTCAGTATTGACGACTGTTTAGGACTCGCGGCGCCATCTGTGACTTTTAGCTGCAACTAAATTTTCGCGCTAAAGACACGAGCGCTGTCGCGGGATAAATACGAATTAAATGAATATCACGAGATAAAATAATTGAAATAAATTAAATCCTTACTCTATACGTATTTAATGATTCTTTTAGGAGAAGGAGAAGCAGGAACGCCTCTTGAAAAGGAGATTATAAATTACAACGAACGATTTCCCTGGACTTGGGACCAAGGAAGATTTGGATTCGGCCCTTATGGTAAACTAGGAACTTCATTAAAAATACCAAATTCAATAAACATTTAAATTCAGAATTACTAATATTAATTTCGGTCGCGGAATTAATTCTCCTTCTTTTGTGTTAATTTCTTTCAATCTGATCTTATTCAAAATTGGTCGAAAGATTTTATTAACAATTTTCAGCTGGACGATTGCAGCGACATTTCAGAGAGGCTCAAAGAAAAGGATTGCCATCGCCAATTATATCGATTGTTGATTATCTGGTCGTAGATGGCGAAGGTTTAAGATTCGGAAGGTTTTATCGAACTGCGGGATGGTATACTCATATTTTATTATGGTGAGTGAAAAGGATTTATGAATATATTATAAAATGACTGTCGCCATCTAGTGGGTTTCTGCGGAACAAATGGCGTTTTTAACACGTAAGGTAGCGTGTAAACAAGCGCCATGAATATGAAACTCAACACTATTTCATGCATTTTGATTTATTTTCTTTTTTTATAAACACTATTTCATGCATTTTGATTTATTTTATTTTTTCATAATTGCTATTTCATGCATTTTTATTTATTTTCTTTTTTTAAAACTCTATTTCATGCATTTTGATTTATTTTCTTTTTTTATAAACACTATTTCGTGCATTTTGATATATTATCTCTATCAGAGCATAATTTATTTTTTAATAGAGCCTTGCAAATTTTGAACTGATATATTCAATGCTATTTCATGGATTTTAATTGTTTTTCTCTTTCAGGGCAACACTCCCTGCCTGGATATTTGCTAATATATTTCTGCAAACCGTGGGCCGATATGCCGCATATTTCATCGCTTTAATTGGAGTTTTTCAATTATTAGCATGTGCAATTTGGAGCATTGTCCGTAATCCAATTCCTTTGGTAATCCCCTTCGAAGATGGAGTCATCAGTACTCATTTCGGACCCCATTATTGGATGACACTAGCGTGTGGTAATTATTATTAAAAATGTTCATTTCTTTAAAAATAGTATTATTAATGGGGAACTTTATAAGGTTAAGTTAAATCCCCTAAAAAAATCAGTAGACACTTTTTTATGAAAGGTGTTGCACAAAATTGTCTGAAACTTTAACATTTAACTTGTCGGCACTTATGAATTATCCTTATACTTTCCTTAATTTCATTAATTCATCATTAATTCGTTTCGTTCATTCATTTCATTCCATTCATTTCATTTCATTCCATTCCATTTCATTTCATTCCATTCCATTCCATTTCATTCCATTCCATTTCATTTCATTCCATTCATTCATTTCATTTCATTCATTCATTCATTTCATTTCATTTCATTTCATTTCATTTCATTTCATTTCATTTTCATTCCATTCATTCATTCCATTTCATTCCATTTCATTCTATTCGATTCATTGGATTCATTCGATTCATTCGATTCATTCGATTCATTCGATTCATTCGATTCATTCGATTCATTCGATTCATTCGATTCATTCGATTCATTCATTTCATTCTATTCATTCACTCCATTCGTTCATATCGTTCGTTCCATTCGTACTTATAATTCATATAGTTCATTCCGTTCATTCATTCATCGTTTATTTCATTTGTTCATTCCAAGGAATTTCGAATAGTTATTCCAAATGTCTAGAATACTTATTAACAATATTTTGCATTGTTAATAGGTATCTTCTGCTTGGCACTAGCATCCACAATTGTGTTCATGGACCTCAGATATCCAAACATGTTGTCAGTCTTCTTAGGCCTGGATCCTCTGAACCAGTACGACGAGTACGTAGTGCGTAAGTTTCCTTTTTTTCCCCTCAACGTGCGTCAATGAAATTACTCATGAGACAGAAATAAGCTGAACAGGAAAATACCTAACTCGACAATGAACATTTAGGTGCGTCAGAGATGGAGCGAATTCGAGACCAAATGAAAGTGACTAGCACGCTAGAATTACGAAACATGGAAGGTGACTCTTCTCAAAATCAGGAAACTGGTATGGTAAGGATAATTGGATAATTATTCATATTTCCTAGTAACTCTGCGATATAGTGGTACGTAATGCTCAATTAAGGTGAAGTGAAACACGTCGAGGAACTTGATCGACGTCGATAAAGGAGATTTTTCTAAATGCCTACGTTGCCGACGTTGGAATTTATATCGACAGCTGGGTCGAATTATATTGGGCATTGTACTAAATGGCATACTCCATATGCCATTTATAAAGAAATCCAAGTAAAACTCTAGAAATCCTCTGGATTCATGGTTTCTGAGGCCCTAATTGACTGCAGAGGGACCCCCTGCGCCATCTGTGATTTCCAGGGCAACTAAATTTTCACTCCGAGACTTTGTATTATTATCTTTTCAGTATAGCACTGTATAAGACACTTTTTTTGCCTTTTATCTCGTTCAAATGCGAGTTTATCAATTACCAAAGTGTTCTAAATTGTTGTACAATTGTCCTGACACTTTTATTGCACTAAATGGCGTACTCCATATATTGTTTTCGTCCAATAATTATGAACATATCGAAGTAAAACTCCAAAAATCCCCTGGATTCATGGTTTCTGAGGCCCTAATTGACTGCAGAGGGACCCCGTGCGCCATCTGTGATTTCCAGGTCAACTAAATTTTCACTCCGAGACTTTGTATTATTATCGTTTCAGTATTGCACTGCATGAGACACTATTTTTGCGTTTTATCTCGTTCAAATGCGAGTTTATCAATTACCAGAGTGTTCTAAATTGTCGTAAAATTGTCCTGACCCTTTCGTTTCTCATATTATAACCTTCAATAATTGTATATTGGTCCATTAGGAAATTCGATTACTCACTGTATATTTTTAATTAAAATTGTAGATGATCCTGAAAAGAAGGTCGACGGTTCGGATGGCGCAAAAGAATTTATTCCGCACACCCGTTCCCGTGCAAATCGATGATTACGATGACATAGGATTTTACGCCAATCAAAATGTCACCACGTGAGTGCCATTGTTAAGGTGATATGAGAAGTGCTGAGAAATTTAATTCAGGTCTATAAATTAAAATTCAAATGTACCCTTTTTGGTGGTAACGTCATTTTGAATACTCAAGTGTTGGCGCGTCTCGTTACCGACATTTATGTTTATGTTCAAGTCTTTTACCTGATTTCATTCCTTTTGTTATATTTTTTAGGTCGCAGGGACCCCAAAGCTCAACTTTGACGAAAAAAACGTCAATGGAGGAGTCAACAATGGCTAAACCTCCATTACCGGCGAAGAATCGCATAAAGAAGCAACGAGACCCAGATAAAGTTGTTAAAGTCTAAATTAAGAATGTTCCTGAAAGTTTAAAAGAATGGCTTGTCTATCATTAGCTGTAAAAGAATGGACTGAACAACACTCGTTACATCATTTTTCATCTGTCTCAAGATCTAAATGAGTGTCTTGTCTATCATCAGTTGTAAAATAATGGACTGAACAACACTCGTTACATCACTACTTATCTACCTCAAAACCTAAATGAATTACTTGTCTATCATCAGTTGTAAAAGAATGGACTAAACAACACTCGTTACATCACTTTTTATGATCCTCAAAGTCTAAATGAATAATTTGCCTATTATCAGCCGTAAAAGAATGGACTAAACAACACTCGTTACATAATTTATCTGTCTCAAAACTTAAAAGAATGACTTGTCTATCATCAGTTGTAAAAGAATGGACCAAACAACACTCGTTACATCACTACTTATCTCCCTCAAAACCTAAATGAATAATTTCTCTATCATTAGTTGTAAAAGAATGGACTAAACAACACTCGTTACATCCCGTTTTATCATCCTCAAAGTTTAAATGAATGACTTGTCTATCATCAGTTGTAAAAGAATGGACTAAACAACACTCGTTACATCACTGTTTATCATCCTAAAAGTTTAAATGAATAATTTGTGTATTATCAGCCGTAAAAGAATGGACAAACAACACTCGTTACATCATTTTATATCTGCCTGAAGATCTAAATGAGTGACTATCTATCATCAGCGGTAAAACAACGAACTAAACAACACTCGTTACATCATTTTATATCTGCCTGAAGATCTAAATGAGTGACTATCATCTGCGGTAAAACAACGAACTAAACAACACTCGTTACATCATTTTATATCTGCCTGAAGATCTAAATGAGTGACAATCTATCATCAGCCGTAAAATAATGAACTCAACACTCGTTCAGGTATAAACTGAAATGTATTCAGGCTTGCCTCCTAGTTCCACACCCGAAACAGCATAAACTTAATCACGTGCGTTTAGTTACACCGATACATAATGAATACGCAATAGCCCGTGAGGAAGAAAGTGACGTCATCAGAGATCTAGCTCTCGGACTCTGTTTTCTCCTTGCTGGACTCGCTGTAATCAGAGCCACCCCTGCTCTTATCATCTGCCTTGGCTTCCTTCTCCCTCTTCTCCTTGGTGGACTTCTTCTCGCTCTTCTCCTTGTCCTTCTCCTTCTCGGACTCGCCCTTCTTCCCGTTGCTGTCCGCCTTGTCCTTGCTGCGCCTGTCCTTCTCCTTCTCCTTGTCCTTGTCCTTGGACTTCTCGTACTTCGCCTTGGAGGACCTCGTCTTGGACTTCGACCTGGACCTCCTGGACTTCGACTTGGACCGTTTGCTGCGGGACCTGGAGCGGCTCTTCCGCTTCGGGGAGGACTTCTTCTTCCGGTCCTTCGACTTCGACCTGGACCTCCTAGACCTGGACCTTCGGGACCTGGACCGGGATCGGTGGCGACCTCTGGAGCTGCTTCGCCTTCTCGAGGGAGACTTTCTTCGGCGGTCCTTCGACCGGGACCTCTTCGACCGAGACCTGGACCTGCGCCGGTGCCGAGAACGGGACCTTCTGTGGCGGGACCGAGACCTTTTGCGAGACCTGAGGAAGAAAATCATCCATTAACGCCATCTGTGATAAATATTCATCATCATTGTGATAAATATTTCTTGATAATTAGTATCGTTAGCCAACGTAGGATCTGGACTTCTACGGAAGCTCCAAATTCTTTGGTTAATTATTATAACTGCTTATGATTGCTTTCGTCTCTTACCTGGATCGTCTACGACCTCTGGACCGAGACCTAGATCTTCTTCCTCTAGATCCACTGCGGCTCCTTTTATCCTTGGACAACATTCCAATCATTGGATCGATGGCAGCGGATATTAAATTATGAGCTTCCTTCACTCTGGACATGGCCTCTTCGATTTCCTTCTGCGCAGCTTCATTGCTCTTCGCTTCGGGCTTTGCAATTGCCTGCGTCGAATGATATATCTTGATTGGCTTGTCGGCAAGTGTTTTGCCATTTAACTGCAAAGCAGGAACAACCGATGGTTGTTCTGAGAGTTCCACCAGAGCGTAATGATCTGTATCCGAATCCCTTGTACAGAGCCTTAGGTATTTGATCTCGATATTGTTGTTGCCGAAGAAGTCCAGCAGCTGCTCTGCGGAAACTGAGGTCTCCAGATTTGCAACGACCAAAGTTCTCCTGATCTCTTCGATCCTCCTGCTGTCCAGGTGGCCTGGCAAGTGAGGATACTGTGGCAAACCATTCGCATCCAGCTTTGGATCTACCGTAGCGATGACATGATTCGGAGGGATTCCTTCGATTGCATTAACCACGTTCGGTGGGAGCTTTGGCTCCGATGGATAGAGACCTGGAAAATAAAAATTAATTAGTACGTTTGAATATACCAAACCACTGCAATTGATCAAACCGAAGCATCCATAAAACTTTGTAACGATTACTTTCTGATGACATATTGAGTTTCGCTTTCTTTCATTGTACAATGGACTAACCTCTTAAAAAATCCATATAAATATCTTATAAATGCAATAAAACGTCAAGATATTAAAACATGAACTCGGAGCATACAAAAACTCGACACAGACTTGAAATATACATGTCTAAACCTAATCGATTTAAATTTCAGTGAATAAGTTTACGGTAGCAAATTACTAGATCGACGCATCATAAAGTTGTACGGTTTTCTCTGACCAATCGGAACGTGAAACTGTACAAACTTATACATCAGGTTTGTTCGTGTCGACTGCACTTTCTACACTCTTTCGGGTTCGCGTGTAGAAAGTGTAAAGAAAGCGTACACTCGGTGTATGTGCCCTTGCAAAATGAGCAGCGACGTTGCGTCACTTCCGTCAAAACGAACGCCAAAGTGTACCCTTTTCGTAAAAGCATAGAAAGTGTAGGCGAAGCGAACAAACCTATCGATTCATTACAAAGAACCGTATCGATTTATAAAAAGCCTCGCGTAAAGCAATCGCCCTCGGAATCCCTGCATAAATCCTCGTTTACTCAATACCTAGAACAACGGTGCCGTTGTTGGTGAGTTCGAGAGCGCGCTGCTCATCGGGAATGTCTCCGTTCTGGTACGGGATAACGATGAGAGCACGATCGATGAAGACGGTGTTGGTCATATGCTGGGCCACCGCAACGCAGCCCTGATCGTGGAACTTAATGTAGCATATGCGAGACTGTACGGGCACTGCGACGTCCCTGATAGTAGGATACAATCTAATGTCCTCTATTTTCCCTAGATAACCAAAGAGCGTTTGCATTTGGTCTTTGGTCGCCTGTGGAGCGATGTTGGTTACTTGCACCACCTTTGTTGAGCCAACCGCCATTCTTGGTCTATTACGCGTTCTCAGGTTAGCTTGCAGATAAACCCTTTTCCTCTGTTATATACGGGACTTCTGAGGGTAAACTGATAGTTAGGTTAACCATGGCGACGATATGAAGGCATGGCTGATATCACCTGGCTCTCTTAATCGAGAATTTATAACACTTCGATGATTAAGCGCGTCTTAAAGACCTTCCGATGAACCTCGACAGCAAATATTGTACTTTAGGCACGGAGAATGCACCTTAATGATGGGTTTTTTAGATGGAAATTGTGAGGCGAAACTGACGCGCCCTCTGGTGGGACTCTATTTTCGTCATAGAGTATGCTAAGGCATGATGGGCTTTGAAGGTATAATATGAGACGCGATACGAGCGCGCTCTGGTGGGATTGATTTGTATTGTAACCTGGTTACACCGAACGAGATTAAAAATGGTCGAGTAATGTCACGCGAAGTATCTCACATTTTTACCATAGTGAATATTACGGAATCGCGGAAGGTGTTCATTTTTAACATTCTCACTAGATTGGAGTTACAAAATCGTCCCCCAGAAATTCCGAGATCTCCCATCGTGTTCCTTCAGTCTAGTAATTTCACATTTTCACTTGGAGAGTCGGGTGAATAAATTCACGTGAGATGACAGTGCGAGAAGTGAGCGCTCTCGTCAAAAATACGTAATTAACACCCAGGATCGAATCTGCGCCTTTATTAACGCGATGGAGGCGATTTGCTAAATCCGGGCCCGATTAATCCCGGATTGAGGAGTACGGCGGAAACGTAGAGTCTCGGAATGACTAGTGAACCTAGATTGGAACACACCCTGTAACATTCCCATCCTACCTTTCTTTTTCCAATGCCGTGGAGTGTCTATGCCTATATTTTATATCTGTAGATAGGCTTTCGATGTATCTAGTGTAATTTTATGGTCAACCTACGATTTTGTGTCATGGTCAATAATGCCGCGTATCGTTTGTCGCCGATGACTTATTTTAAAGTGGGTTAATTGAATGCGGAATAACTTCTCTAGATAAAGGTACGGCCGAACACAATTGATATAAAACAAACAATGAAGGATTAATTGCAATTTTAAAAGATTATAATTTAGTAAGAATTTCCAAAGGTCCTTAATAAAAACGTTTCAATTAAATACTTGACGGTTGAAGTAATTATATTTTTTTTTTTACAGGTACTAGTAAGACTGTCATGTGACAATATTTCTTATATTGATTTTGCACGTGATAACGATGAATATAATTTGACTATCGTGTTAGTCAATTCCTTACTTAAATTAATTACTGCTCGTTGAGATAATATCCAATAATTTACATCATTTATATTTTTTGACCCGTTACGATTGGGTGGTGTATTTTTAATTACTTTCATTATCAGTATTTTAGTTCATTTTAAAATTATGAGTAAAAGTCGATGCTGAGTGAAAACTCATTTTTTGGTAATCACGCTTTTAGGTTAGGTCATTTTTCATTATTAATTTAGAGTATATGGCTGTGACGATGTTTCGTTAAGCTTTCCTAAATTCTAAGTAAGTTTAACGACAAACTCGCTGGATTTAGAAAATGATATTCGTAACAGATATTACAGATTTTTGTGCAATTCTTTACAGCGATTATATTGGTTAAGAGAGATTGTATGAATTTTGTCAATTTCTTGTTACGTTTGCTTTATATATACTATTAACTAATTTACGATCCGTGAATTAATCTGTAAATTAATATTATTTTCCAGGAAACTATGGCAGATCCGACGGCAGAAAGATTTTCTTTGAAATGGAACAATTTTTCAAATAATTTAACTGCTGGTTTCTTATCGCACTTGACCGAGAATGATTTGGTCGATGTAACGCTGGCCGTTGAAGGAAAATTACTACAAGCCCATAAACTGGTTCTGTCGGTTTGCAGTCCATATTTTAAAACCATATTTAAGGTACGTCAATAGCGATGCGATGAATGGAATAGTTTATCAACTCGTGTCACGATTGGTATCTCGGTCTCACTCTTTCACTCGTAAACTGCATTCGTTTGTACTAATAACTTGAGTTGACTCGAATCCATGCTCGACTCGAGTTCGAGTTAAAATACTCAACTCGTCACATCACTAATAGTGAAAGAAAACAATACATAAACCATGGCAATAAATTATGCAATGTAGTATCTTTAATTTGTCATTCTGTCGTTGCAGAATATACCGTGTCAACATCCTGTAATTGTATTAAAAGACATGGGGTACGCGGATGTGGAATCCCTGCTGAAATTTATGTATCAAGGAGAGGTGAACGTGAAGCAAGAAGACTTAGCATCCTTCCTTAAAGTCGCAGAAGTACTCCAGATAAAAGGACTGACCGGAGACGAGACCAAATGCGAGGTAATTTGCAAACATTTCTAAATAAATTAAAAAAAGAACCCGGTACAATCCCTCACAGATATCAAAGAAATGTTTAATTATTCATCGGGGACATTTGCAATAACTTTACGTGTTTTCTTTTTTTCTTTAACAGGAGGAACCTAGCGAAGGTGCAGTTCGATCTTCGAAGCAAAAATTCGATATCCAAGCAGAGCCCCTTAATAGCAGCCCCGTCGGAGATACCAATGTTACACAGAGTGCTATAAACAATAACCAATTGCCCGAAGCTTCGATTAAAGTAAAAAGGTCTCAGGAACTCGACGGACAAGTGGCACAGTCATCGAAGAAGTGCAAGATGTCTGCATCTTCTACGAAGGAACTGGATGCACCCGTTCTCAGTCCACAAGCAGTCATCGCAAAAGAGGAGCCCCTAGAATACGATGACGACGAAGATGATAGGACTTTCTTCGTTGATGACCAGCTTGGCCACTTATCGGAGTCAGAGAAAACCCTGGACGAAGGTAGGGTACAATGTCTACGTATGACCCATCGGTAGCTTTAAGGTGAAGTGAAACTCGTTGAGGAACTTGATCGACATCGGTAGGAAAGATTCTTCTAAATACCTACGTTGCTGACGTTTCACTTCACCTTAACGCGTCCACTTCGGCCGTTCTACCTTGTATATATATCTATATATATATAATATATATCTATGCATATGTATGTAACAAAGAGATTGTTCGTTGATACTATCGGTTCCTTGGAGGAGCTTCGGCGGTTCCGCTGACGAGAGGCGGATTGTTGTGTTTTTGTTCCGCTTGGCGTCGTGGTAGAGGTAGGAGTGCACCAGGAGGCTATTTGCTGTTTTTGTACTTGTTGCCGCAGAAATTGCAGGTTAGGCTTTCGAGAGGCCCGTGTATATATCGCACGTGGAGCTTAAGGTGATATGAAAGTTATGTACGTACAATGGCGGACATGAATGCCTCCCCTGCAGATACGGCATCGCCTGTGCAGGATGGGAGGGCATTGATGTCTCCCAGTGTATGTATCACGCTTTCATATCACCTTAAATGTCCGATGTTTCCCGTAGTGGTTGTCGAGGCCGATCGAAAGCGACGGAGCTTCTCGTGCGAAGAGAAGCTGGGCGTCCTCCAGCGGCTGGACGAAGAAACTCTGTCCGTAGCCCAGGTGGCGCGACAGTTCGGTATTAACGAGTCCACCGTCAGAGGTTGGATCCAGAAGAGGAGGGAACTGGAGCACTATTGTGGCGGGAACAAAGTCAAGTACAAGAGGATGCGACAGCCGCAGAATCGGATGGTCGACGAGGCTTTGTTCACCTGGTACAACGAACAGAGGAGCACTGGGGCGCCCGTCTCGGGGCCCATCTTGCAGGCACAGGCTCAGCGGTTTCATGACAAGATGAACTGCGAGAGCAACTTCTACGCCAGCCAGGGATGGCTCAGGAACTGGAAGCTGCGGTTCGGCGTCAGGTTGGGCTGAGAGAGACCTTCCTTGGACGTGGGGATCCCCAAGGTGTAGAGGCGTCGTTCTTTGGAATTGGACAGAGGTTAAGGTGGATTGTGTTATTAAGATTGTACAGAGGTTGCGGTGGATTGTGTAATTGGAATTGTACGAAGTATAGGTTGCATTGTGTAATTAGGAGCCAAAGCGTTGGACTCTATGGATCAGGTTGTTAGGACTGACCCAGGAACTGGATGCTGCGATTTGGCGTCAGGTTGGGCTGCGAGAGAATTAGACCTTGGGCATCCTGAAGACGTTGTAGAGAGAGCGTTCTCTGGAATTGTACAAACAAACGAGTGGATTGTGTAATTAGGAGCGAAGGCAATTAGGTTGTACTGTATGGATCAGGTAGTTAGGACTGACCCAGGAACTGGATGCTGCGATTTGGCGTCAGGTTGGGCTGCGACAGACTTAGATGTTGGGCATCCTGAAGATGTAGAGGGAGCGTTCTCTGGAATTGTACAAACAAACGAGTGGATTGTGTAATTAGGAGCGAAGGCAATTAGGTTGTACTATATGGATCAGGTAGTTAGGACTGACCCAGGAACTGGATGCGAGAGACTTAGACGTTGGGCATCCTGAAGATGTAGAGGGAGCGTTCTCTGGAATTGTACAAACAAAAGGGTGGATTGTGTCATTAGGAGCGAAGGCGATTAGATTGTACTGTATGGATCACCTAGCTAGGACTGATTTAGGAACTAGATGCTGCGATTTGGCGTCAAGTTGGGCTGCGAGAGAATTAGACCTTGGACATCCTGAAGACGTTGTAGAGAGAGCGTTCTCTGGAATTGTACAAACAAACGAGTGGATTGTGTAATTAGGAGCGAAGGCGATTAGATTGTACTGTATGGATCAACTACCCGGGGCTGATTTAGGAACTGGAAGCTTCGATTTAGTGTCAGGTTGATCAGGGAGAGACTTTCCTTGGACGTGGGGATCCCTAAGGCGGTGTCGAGAGATCGTCCTTTGCAATTATACAAAGATTAGGATGAATTGTGTAATTAAGAGCGTATACGATTAGATTGTATTGTATGGATCAATTACCCGGGGCTGATTTAGGAACTGGATCCTTTGATTGGGCATCAGGTTGGGCAGGGAGAGACTTTCCTTGAACGTGGGGATCCCTAAGGCGGTGCAGAGAGATCGTCCTTTGGAATTGTACAAAGATTAGGATGAATTGTGTAATTAAGAGCGTATATGATTAAATTGTACTGTATGGATCAACTACCCGAGGCTGATTTAGGAACTGGAAGCATCAATTTAGTGTCAGGTTGGGCAGGGAGAGACTTTCCTTGAACGTGGGGATCTCTTAGGCGGTGCAGAGCGATCGTCCTTTGGAATTGTACAAAGATTAGGCTGAATAGTGTAATTGAGAAGAAAAAACAAAGCGACTCCTTTTCTTTTTTACTGAATTGTTATACTTTGTACAGTAATCTACATTGGCGTATATCAGTTTGACTGTTATATTTAAGCTAGATGATAAATAAATTCTGATTTCTTTGTTCTTTTTCGAAAAGGGTCGACCATGTTGGTTCAAAATGACGTCAAGGAGAAGAACCGACTGATGTTCAACAACTTATCAGATGCACCTTCCGTAGACGTAGATTCTGCAGTTCCAGGTAAGAAGCATTGTGTTTATCAGGTCTTAACCTTCGTTATCTACGATAAATGGATATTCCCCTCTCTTTTTACGTTTATTCAAGATTTTCTAATAAATGTATTTAACACTAAACGTACCGAGATTCAGTAGACCGGCATTAATCGATGGTTTCTTCGCGATCTTACTGCCCTCTACATACGCGCAGTGTACTAGCGGCGGGAGCAGCGCGAAATTTGAATCGCCCAAGGGGCAGAATGGATTTCCTAAAGAAAATAAATATTTATAAACAAAAACAATTAATGAAAATTATTTTAGTATTATCGTGGAGCGTCCCTGACCCACCTAACGTAGTTTTTGTTAAATGATTATTCACAGAATCCCTTAAAGAATATATTAGAACATGTTTTATTGAAAGTTAACAAGTTTCTTAGCGATTAAATTGTTCCATCCACTGAAACGAAGTTAGAATATTATCTTGGGTTAAGAAAAAATAGTTTATTAATATTTACACAGTGAAATGCCATAGGAAAATTTACAATGCATCCACTTTCGGATATATAACCGGAGTCATGATTTCATGTTTCTTATATATTTACATTCTACACCTTTAGGAAATCCATTCTGCCCCTTGGCGATTCAAATTTCGCGCTCCCGCCGTTAGTACAGGAATAGAATTTAAAATGACGTGAATTCACGTCAGCGGCAACGACGTAAATTCACGTCAGCGGCAACGACGTGAATTCACGTCAGCGGCAAACGACGTGAATTCACGTCAGCGGCAAACGACGTGAATTCACGTCAGCGGTCGCGAATGTGTTAATACATTGATTAGTTTATCACATATGAGGTCGTGATAAGAAAGTATTAGGGATGTGCATGAGCTCAGGAAATAAATGTCATTTCGACATAGTAATCTGATATAAGGTTTAGGTGCCCACATTAGTGCATATATATTGTTATAAAAAATTATATAGATTGTTATCGCAAAATATTTCTCTTATATTTTTTATATAATTAACGAATATCGTACACCTTGTAAATATTTACCGGACGTTTGAAATATTTGCAAAACATTTACTTTTGACATTAAGTTTTGCCCCCACATCGTTCGTCGCGATTTACGCGTAAAAACGGGATTTTACGCATTGCGGGATGATTATTGGAATTATGTTAAGTGAAATGAAGAACTGCAAGTTATCACGGAGAGGTAAGTCGTTCGATTGTAGTATTCATATTGAAAATATTGAAATAGCTTAAGGTGATGTGAAACACGCCGAGGAACTTTGTCGACGTCGGTAAAACAGGGTTTTCTAGATACATACGTTGCCGACGTTGGTTTTTATATTGAAAGTTGTGTCGAATTATATTGGGTATTGTACTTAATGGCATACTCCATATGTAATTTTTCTTTCAATAATTATAAAGAAATCGAAGTAAAACTCCAGAAATACTCGGGATGCATGGTTTCTGAGGCCCTAATTGACTGCAGAGGGACCCCCTGCGCCATCTGTGATTTCCAGGTTAACTAAATTTTCACTCCGAGACCTCGTATTACCATCGTTTAATTTAGCAGGGCATAAGACACTTTTTTTTGCCTTTTATCTCGTTCAAATGCGAGTTTATCCATTACCAGAGTGTTCTAAATTGTCATAAAATTGTCCTGACACTTTCGTTTCTCATATTAGAGTCTTCAATAATTGTATATCGATCGAAATATGAGAGCTATATCGTCGAATTATATTGAGTATTGTACTAAATGGCATATTCCACCTGTTTTTGTACAATAATTATAAAGAAATCGAAGTAAAACTCCAAAAATACCCTGGATTCGTGGTTTCTGAGACCCTAATTGACTGCAGAGGGACCCCCTGCGCCATCTGTGATTTCCAGGTTAACTAAATTTTCACTCCGAGACCTCGTATTGCCATCGTTTCAGTATAACACTGCATAAGACACTTTTTTTGCCTTTATCTCGTTCAAATGCGAGTTTCTCGATTCTTTAAATTATATNAATTTAGCGCTAATCAATTAGATTGAATTAATAACTAACTGAATATGTATAAAAAAAAATAGATAGGGGAATGAAAGGTGTAAATATTAATGTTGTTTGAATTCGTAATCGGATTCTTATGTGTCTCTCTTATGGATTCATAATCTAATTATAAATTTATCTAATTATAAAATGATTACGATGATGATAAGATGATATGGATTAATAATCAGAGAATTCCTCTTGAATTCGTAATCGGATTCTTATGTGTCTCTCTTATGGATTCATAATCTAATTATAAATTTATTTAATTATAAAATGATTACGGATCTAATTATAAATCTAATTATAAAATGATTACGGATTCATAATCTCTGATTATAAATCCGTAGTTGCAGCCTGATTGTAAATCCGTAATCTATGATTATCTATCCGTAAGAGGGATAATCTCTGATTATGTGCCTTAAGAGAGATAATTTCTGATTATGAATCCGTAATCTCTGATTATGAATCGATAAGAGAGATAATCATTGAATATGAATTCGTAAGAGAGATAATCTCTGATTATAAATTCGTAAGAGAGATAATTTCTGATTTTGAAACCGTGAGAGAGATAATCTCTGATTATGCATCCGTAACAGAGATAATCTCCGATTATCAATCCATAAGAGAGATAATCTCTTATTATGAATTCGTGAGAGATAATCTCTGATTATAAATTCGTAAGAAAGATAATCTCTGATTATAAATTCGTAAGAGAGATAATCTCTGATTATAAATTCGTAAGAGAGATAATCTCTGATTATGAATCCATAAGAGAGATAATCTCTAATTATGAATACATAACAAATTCTCTGCAGATGATATTTTCCACCTGATTTTTTTATCCATTAGATTAAATAAAGTTCATCTACGCGATTAGAAATGTACTCAGATCATAGCGTTTCACATTCGCGTTTCATATGTATTCTACATTAATAAGACTGAATATGTCATTAAGATTTGCAACAAATATTTTAAATATCTCCAAAAGAAATCTACGAGCCGTCATAAACAAAATCCGTCGCTTGAGATAGTTAACAAAGATTAAAAATAAATATTTATAAAAAAGAAAAGAATGCGGAGAAGGTACTCTTGTTACTCCGTGAATGTATTTTGAAATTGAATTTGAGCAATTTATTTATTTACAATAATTATGTATTACTGCGTAACTGCGATTGGAATGAAATAAATTATGAATTTGGAATAGAAGAATGATGAAGATGAATTTTAGATGAATTTTAGATGATTTGTTTTATCGACGTCGATTAGACTTCTCAGGGCCTTTCATATCATCCTAAGTTTTACGAATTGATGTTTTTGAGGCTTAGAATTCAAAATGAAGAGATTGCAAGAGAATGCTGGCTCGTCTCGTAGGTAAGACGTGTCTAGAGCGAAACTTTAGTTGCAGCCAAACGTCACAGATGGCGCCGCTGGTCCTAAACAGTCTTTAAAATAATGAATTCCCGGGATTTCGGCAGTTTTACCTCGATCTCTTCATCATTACTTTACCAAAACGACATATAGAACCCTTCAGTTCGTATAATTCTCACCATAGACTGTAAAAGACTCAAGATAACCATAAATGTCGGTAATGGGACGCGCCAGTTTATGTTACCACTTGAGTATTCAAAATGACGTTCCCGCCAAAAAGGGTATAGATGAATTTCGTTTTATAAACGTCTATTAGACTTCTCAGGGTCTTTCATATCACCTTAATCTTTAGTTTCGCCATTTTTATCACCACTAGAGGGTGTTCCATACTTTCCTATCTCTCCTAAAGTCTTTTTTTCTTTTAGATCAGCTGCGGAAGAGGGATCAGCCATGGCTTCATGCAGCAGGCTACATTTACCATAAAAATTGGGCAAGAGGGGTGAAAATCTACTGGAGGTGCAGATTCTGGACGAGGGGAAGGTGCAGAGCTCGCTGCGTCTCTAAGAAAGACGTAATTGTCTCACAAACCGGGTCTCATAACCACGCTCAAGACACGCAAGACTTGTCCATCTTTCTGATGACTCCTGGAGACGCTCTTTATAATAGTCTCAGATACGGATCTCGGTTATCAAAGATTTCCAACCCTCCCGATGACTCCGATTAGGGCCAAATTCGCCTCCTTATCAGGGGACGTTCGGTCGATAAGAATATTCGATTGTGAAACCGGGTTATCTTTACTTAATCCAAGGGATAGAAAATTAGGTAGGACGTAAGAGATATGGATTAATAATCAGAGAATTCCTCTTGAATTCGTAATCGGATTCTTATGTGTCTCTCTTATGGATTCATAATCTAATTATAAATTTATCTAATTACAAAATGATTACGATGATGATAAGATGATATGGATTAATAATCAGAGAATTCCTCTTNATATACTACGTTTATGTATATAAAATGTTCATTTTACTATTTTGTATCTATTGAGACGATTTGCTGCTTACACAAACAATATAATAAATTAATTGTTTTAAATTGTTGCAGCTGGATCGGAACGCACGCCATATATGCATCAACTATCGGAAGGTTTGTTGTTAAATAAACATTACGAAATTAATTGAAAATGATGAAGGGTACAGGTATTGTTTTATTTCAGCGCGCTTATCTGCCGTGGAAAGTAACATAATGCATATAAAAAATGACATACAAAGGATTTATGGGGTTTTGTTGAAATATCAACAGAAACAATTGCTGCAACCTGTGGACAACAAAGTCGCTGTTGAAGCTGTTGTTCAGTTGGATGGGACGTTCCCTCTGAAAACGGCACAACAATTGGCGGAATTGGAAGAACAGCTGAAAAGCAGCGCCGAAAAGAAGGACCAATTGGTACGTTCGGTTATGGTACTTTTTATGAGGATGAATATTGTTTATGGGTATCTAAACAAGTTTTTTTATATAAAATGAAATTTCATGAGTGTCGGGACCCTCTGTAGAGCCTGTATGTTCATGTTGTAAAATTTGAAACGAATCGGTACACCCAGTTTGGAGAAAAGTGCAATGAACATCCTTTTAAGGTGATGTTAAAGAGGTCTCGTTATGAAACATTTTTTTATATATAATGAAATTTCATGAGTGTCGGGACCTTCTGTAGAGCCTGTATGTTCATGTTGTAAAATTTGAAACGAATCGGTACATCCAGTCCGGAGAAAAGTGCAATGAACATTTTTCTTATTAGATGTGAGGTTAGGTGATTTCAGCGTCACATGATGTCATAGAAAGTTAATTAAGTAATGCAATCTTATTCTTAATACATGTGAGGTTATGTGACTCCTTCTTAACAGATGAAGTACTTAAAAAAAATTATGAATGTGGGGTTAGGTGACGTCAAAGTCATATGACGTCATAAAAAGTTAATTAAGTAATGCAGTCTTTTCCTTAATAGATATGAGGTTGTGTGACTCCTTCTTAACATATGAAGTACTTAAAAAAATGATGAATGTGAGGTTAGGTGCCTTCTTAACAAATGTGAGGTTACGTGAAGTAACGCCATCTTCTTCTTAACAGATGAAGTATTTAAAAAAATTATGAATGTGAGGTTAGGTGATTTCAGCGTCACATAACATTATATAAAGTTAATTAAGTAATGCAATTCTTTTCATAATAGATGTGAGGCTATGTGCAGTAACGCCATCTTCTTGTTACCAGATGAAGTAATTAAAAAACAATTATAAATGTGAGGTTAGGTGACTTCAAAGTCACATAACATTATAGAAAGTTAATTAATTAATGCAATTTTATTCTTAATACATGTGAGGTTATGTGACTTCTTCTTAACAGATGTGAGGTTATGTGGCCTCAAAGTCACATAACATTATAGAATGTTAATTAAGTAATGCAATCTTATTCTTAATACATGTGAGGTTATGTGAAGTAACGCCATCTTCTTGTCACCAGATGAAGTACTTCGACACGATAGGCGGAACGGGTCTGGACGACACCGTGAAAAGGACCCTAGTGAAAACCTTTAGTAATCACTTAGCAATGAATTATTCCTGGGAAGGCCGAAAAGGAAAACTGAAGCTGAACGAACTGGAGTTCCTAAATGTCCTATTCCGTGCGTCTGCCATTTTCCATAACTTTAACAAAGCCTTAATAATTAAAGAAAAAAATGTATACCCGCGTGTTATCATTTCATGGATATTTTTTTATCATTGCAGGGTCTCTTTTAAGGCGGTGCCATGACGCTGATAAGAAGAAATTCGACGTAAGAGTGAGGGAATGGTTCAGACAAGCAAAAGCTCGATATGATAACGGGTGCAAAAGGATCGAACAAAGGATTAAAAAAAGCCCCGTGGAATATCAATTCGAGACTGTTAATTGCGACGCCGACGCGTGGAACCTAACCTCTAATATGTAATTCCAGCGCCACGGCGTTAATTTTGTACAGAAATAATCATCTAGTAAATTAAACACTGCATATTAAATTCTCCTTATTCCCTCGTTTGCGATACTAAGTAAAGATAAGTTAAATATAGGTTATGTATTACATAATAGAAACCTTGTTATTTCGTTAGTTGCATCCTGTTCTTTAACTGGAAACTAACCTTAATTTCCGAACATGTTTTTTTCCCATCAAACACGGTTATATAACAATATTATAACAATTACATACGCCATTGTTATGTAGTTGATGTAACATACATATAACATGTAGGTAAAATTTATATTCCATTTTTTACGCAGTTATATAATGCTGTGATAAATTTATATATGGAAAGAAATATCGGGAACATGTTATATGTTATGTTAAGGCGATTTATGTTCATTGTAGGTTATGTTAAGGCGATATGAAAGGTGGGGAGAAATTTCATCGACGGCGATAAATTATAATCCATCTATACCCTTTTTGGTGGTGACGTCATTTTGAATACTCAAGTAGTAATATAAATTGGCGCGTCTCGTTACCGACATTTATATTTATGTTCAAGTCTTTTACAGTTACTGGAAAACAGAAAAAAAGTATGAAAAAGTGGGTTTTTGGGACTTGGACATGAACTAGATCGTTTAATTAGGTTATGATCATGTTATAATTAAGTTGTCATGCGTGGATGATTGAGATTATGACGCGGCACCCACGTGTTCCCTGTTTTACCGATCGCGAAGATATGGCCCCTTATATAGTAGTTACAATTTTTGCACAGGTGTAAAGAGGGTAGAGGGCTCCAAGGGGCCCTTTAAATACGGGCGGAAAACATCTCCCCGCTCATCTTTTCTTGTAATGAGGAAGCTGTCTCTATTTCAGCTAAATGCAGAAGCACATATTCATAATTAATTAACAAAAAGGTGTTAATTATTCATCTCGCCTTGAAATTAAATCTGTATATTTTGTTAATGCATTTAAAAACAACAATCGCCCCTTATATACAAGTTACAATTTTTGCAGAGGTGTAAAGAGGGTAGAGGGCTCCAAGGGGCCCTTTAAATAGTGGCGGGATACATCTCCCCGCGCATTTCTGCTTGTAATGACGAAGCTGCCTCTATTTCAGCTAAACGAGGCGGAAAGAGGAGTGCGGCTTGGGGATATTTTCAAAAGATTGACAGCCACACCTCGAGGTGCGAGATGTGCGGGAAATTTTTCAAAACCTCCTCGGGCAGTACCTCTGCGTTGCTGAGGCACCTGAAGTTGCACCCGTCCTTCTCGCATAATAGCGAGTTCGGGTAAGTGCACCAGTGAATGACCATTTTACGCAGACGACAAGGCCCAGTGAATGACCATTTTACGCAGACGACAAGGCCCAGTGAATGACCACTAGTGTGGTTCTTGAAAGACCATGAAATTGATGAAGAAAATCAGTCTTATTTGATTATCTCGCGAAATATTAATCATATGCAAAAACGCTTTATATGAAAGTTGTAGATGTGTTAAATATGCGCATATTATTATATATGACTTTTTCTCGTTTGATTTACTGTTTTCGAGATAAATGGGAAAAAGTTTAATTGGATAAAGGGAAAGACCATGAAATTAAAGAATAAATTGGCCTTATTTGTTTATCTCGCGAAATATTAATCATATGCAAAAACGCTTTATACGAAAGTTGTAGATCTGTTAATTATGCGCATATTATTACCTATGACTTTTTCTCGTTTGACTAACCGTTTCCGAGAAACATGCGAAAAAGCATGTCACGACGTGAAAGAAAGTCGCAAAGAAAGTTTCGCCAAGAGTAAATAAGAACCACCCTAATGACTATCAACCAGAATCACATACTTGACATCTCTTAAAGTGGTCATTCGCCGGTAAATGGTCAATTATTGGTGTACAGATTACCCCATTTTGTTTGTTCCTTTGTTCCGTTTTTCGCCGTCGAGTCGAGTAGAAATTTACTGGCTGATAACAGTGATAACAGTTGAAGGGCTGATAATGAAATTAAGTTAAAATTGATATCAGTACTCAGAGTAACTATTATAACTATAATAACCATAAAGAGATCGAAGTGAAAGTGCGGAAAACCCTTGGATTCCTGATTTTTGATACCCTAATGAACTAACGGCGCCATCTGTGACATTTACCTGCAATTAGATTTTTTCTCCAAAACCACGTGTCGGCCACGTGACTTCCTATGATAATGTTTGATCCACTGATAACAATTAAAATCCAAAAAGCACCGATAAACTTATTTCTATTTCCTCTTCTTAAGTATCTGGATTTCTTTTTCATTGAAAAATCGTGTTATCGATTTGTTTCCTGTTTTTTGTTATTTACGAATATTCGGAAGAGCTTTTGTTTAATTGCGGAGAAGCATGCACATCCCTGATAATTGATTAGAAAAATTGAGACCGTAAGGATCAATTTCCTGCGACCGGTCTTGCAAATATGAACCATATTGCAAAGTGTTCTTGTGTAACATCCGTATGTGTGGCTGTTATATAAAAATATGATTATTCATAATTTATGGATAAAAATGACCGTTTGTCATGCATAAGTGAATGGAATGGATTTTTAATTTTAATTTCTGGCTGAAATCTCGGGTTAACAAAATTTTAATTTTATTTATTGCAATGTTCAAATGTTAATTGCATAAAATTCAGGATAATTTGTTCAAAGGACCTCTTTTTATGTTTATTTTATAGTCGCAATTTATGGCTATATCCAAATATTAATTGCATAAAATTCAGGATAATTTGTTCAAAGGATATCTTTTTATATTTATTTTATAGCCGCGATTTATGGCGACGCAGTTTTAGGTTAGTCGCCATTTTATGGCAAAATTAGCTTTTTCTCTCGTTTGATTGTGTTAATGACGAAGAATTCTTACTGTGAAGGTTTTATATTCGGTCTCCTGGTATTTATGATAGGAGGTAAGTAAGTTTAATTGTTTACTTAATTTTTTTTTAACTCATTTGCTGTCAGAGAACTTCCATTCATTAAGGCGATGCGACGTCGATTAAATTTCTCAGCGCCTTTCATGTCATCTTAATTAAATCGCGATTAAAATTTCGAAGCATTAGTGCAAAAATTTAGTTGCAGCTAAACGTCACAGATGGCGCCTCTGGTCCTAAACAGTCTATAGAATAACGAAATCCCAAGATTTCGAATTTCACATCGATCTCTTCGTCATTATTTTATCAAAATAACATATGGAACGCTTCAGTATATATAATTCTCACCGTAGACTGTAAAAGACTTAAACATAAATATAAATGTCGGTAACGATACGCGCCAGCCTATATTACCACTTGCGTATTCAAAATGACGTTCCCCCCAAAAAGTGTACAGATGAATTTCGTCTCATCGACGTCGATGAAATGTCTAATATCTACCCCTTAGAGGTTAGGATCCCTCATCAGACATATTGACCCAAAGTGAGAGCAGTCTGTTGGTGTTCCCAGAGCCTTTCAAATCGTCTTAATTAAATCGCGATTAAAATTTCGAAGCATTAGAGCAAAAATTTAGTTGCAGCTAAACGTCACAGATGGCGCCTCTGGTCCTAAACAGTCTACAGAATAATGAATTCCCGGGATTTCGACGGTTTTACCTCGATATCATCATCATTACTTTACCAAAACGACATATAGAACCCTTCACTTCGTATAATTCTCACCATAGACTGTAAAAAACTGAAGATAAACATAAACGTCGGTAACAGTACGCGCCAGCCTATATTACCACTTGCGTATTCAAAATGGCGTTCCCCCCAAAAAGTGTACAGATGAATTGCGTCTCATCGACGTCGATTAAATGTCTAATATCTACCCCTTAGAGGTTAGGATCCCTCATCAGACATATTGACCCAAAGTGAGAGCAGTCTGTTGGTGTTCCCAGGGCTTCTGCCGTTTGTGCGGAGTGGCCGGGGCAATCTGCAGCTGATCCACGACGGTCACATCTACACGGTCCATTGCCGGGTGGGAAGAAAGACTTATTGGAAGTGCATCTATCGCTCGGCCCTCGGTCGTTGTCGGGCCCGATGCCACACAAAGACGGGCCGAGTGATAGTCTCGAAGCCCGCCCTACCGGCCCACGAGTCTCATCTCTATATGATACAGTCGCTCCATCTGTCGGGGAACATCGTGTACAGAAACGAGTATTAGGACAGGTCGTATGGTAGTCTACAGGTTTGTTCCTTTCGCCCACAATTTCCACGAGTGGTGTCTCTCAAAAGTAAGTTCCACTATTTCAAATCCCTATGCGCGCGCATCGACGCTAGGTTAGCCACGCCCCCGTTGCCATGGAGACCCCACGCGCTCCTGACGCCGATTGTGAAGTTCGTGGGGTTATTCCTTTCACGAGTGGTGTCTCTTGAAAGTAAGTTCCACTATTTTTTTAAACCCTTTTGGTTTATGGGAAACGTTTGAAATCTCCAGAGAATATTTGTCTGGGTGTAGGGCAAGTTCTATAAAATCCCTATGCGCGCGCATCGACGCTAGGTTAGCCACGCCCCCGTTGCCATGGAGACCCCACGCGCTCCTGACGCCGATTGTGATGTTTGTGGGGTTATTCGTTTCACGAGTGGTGTCGCTCAAAAGTAAGTTCCACTATTTTTTTTTAACCCGTTCGGTTGGCGGGAAACGTTTGAATTCTCCAGGGAATATTTCTCTGGGTGTAGGGCAAGCCCTGTAAAATCCCTATGCGCGCGCATCGTCGCTAGGTTAGCCACGCCCCCGTCGCCATGGAGACCCCACTCGCTCCTGACGCCGATTGTGAAGTTTGTGGGGTTATTCATTTACTTCATGTATAGAACGATTTAGCGTATTAATTTTCTACGTAATCAATGAAAAATTGTACAATCATTATTTATGACAAATAATTATAAGCGAGGCTAAGATGTTATATAAGTGTAGGTCGGGAATTCGGCGGGAAATTTGAAAAGTGAAAAGACCAACAAATAGGAAAATACAAAGTTTGTCCCATGATCTCAACGTAATATAAATAGATATAATGATTAAACATTTACTTCGTGTATAGAACGATTTAGCGTTTGTATTTGGTATGTAATCTTTAAAAAATTGTACAGTCATTATTTATTACAAATAATTATAAGCGAGGGCAAGATGTTATAAAAGTGTAGGCCTGAAATTCGGCGGCAAATTTGAAAATTGAAAAGACCAACAAATAAGAAAATACAAAGTTTGTCCCAAGATCTCAACTTAATATAAATAGATATAATGATTAATACATTTTCTTCGTGTATAGAACGATTTATTGTATTAATTTTCTATGTAATCTTTGAAGAATTGTACAATCATTATTTATTACAAATTACAAGCGAGGGTAAGATGTTATAAAAGGGTAGGCCGGGAATTCGGCGGCAAATTTGAAAATTGAAAATACCAATAAATAGGAAAATATAAAATACCTCCCAAGATCTCANTATAAATATATTATTTTGAGGATAATTGTTTCGCAATTATTTCGAGTGTCTGGTAAATATTTACAAAATGTACGATATTTTTTAGATATATTGGAAATATTTTGTGCTACTAGGAGCTGGTATCAAGATAGCAATATTTAAAGATATGTCCGATGTTAACACGACTTATGCTGAAAGAGATAGAAAAATGGGAAATAAATCCGAGAGATTCTCAGCTAACGTGTGTTGCAACCTCTCCACTACAAGAAAAAAAAAAACAATAAATAATCATAGACATTAGTTGCAAGTAAAGTTATCAGCAATAATTAAATTATAGTGACAATTTCCGTTCTTTTTAACCCTTTTAGTTCCAAGTAATGTTAACAGCAATAATTCAATTCTAGCGTCAATTTCCATTCTTTTAGTTGCAAGCAAAGTTAACAGCAATAATTAAATTCTAGCTTCAATTTCCATTCTTTTACTTCCAAGTAAAGTTAACAGCAATAATTAAATTCTAGCGTCAATGTCCATTCTTTTAGTTGCAAGTAAAGTTAACAGCAATAATTAAATATTAACGTCATTTTCCGTTCTTAATTCTTTTAGTTGCAAATAAAGTTTACAGCAATAATTAAATTCTAGCGTTAATTTCCATTTTTTTAGTTGCAAGTGAAGTTAACAGTAATAATTAAATTCTAGCGTCAATTTCCATTCTTTTAGTTGCAAATAAAGTTAACAGCAATAATTTAATTATAGTGACAATTTCCGTTCTTTGTAAACCCCTTTTAGTTGCAAGTGAAGTTAACAGCAATAATTAAATTCTAGCGTCAATTTCCATTCTTTTAGTTGCAAATAAAGTTAACAGCAATAATTTAATTATAGTGACAATTTCCGTTCTTTGTAAACCCCTTTTAGTTGCAAGTGAAGTTAACAGCAATAATTAAATTCTATTGTCAATTTCCGTTCTGTTTAAGGTGATATGAAAGGGTTATTCTATATATATTAGAACGTGAAAATGTTAATAAATGTTAATACCCAGTTTGGAGAAAAGTTTTATGAACATTTTGACTTTTTGGTATGTATATATAGCGCTTTCATATCACCTTAAGAGTTCTCGTTTATGAAACTTTATTCCGAAATGAACATGGAGACTATGAGGAAGGTCCCGACACTCGTGAAATTTCATTTTTAATAAAAAATTTCGAGAATATCAATA